ATCTTCAAGGCAGAGCTACATATTCGAATCAGATATGTCTATTATGAATGAAAATGGCAATTTCCCCTCTTTGCCAGAAATCAGCTACATTCCGCAAGAGAACCAGTACAAGTCTAGAATGTCATCACTCCCGAATCAAGTCCAAGAGAGGTTTGACAAGGAAGCATACAAACTTGAGTCCTCATCACCAACCAATTCGCATCAAGGCAAGTCTTCCAGCAAAAGGCATCGTGAAGATCATAAACAGCATAAGATATACAAAGAGGCAATACAAAATGCAAGGAACACTATAACTCTAGTTGCCATTTTGATTGCAACAGTTGCTTTTACAGCCGGAATTAACCCTCCTGGTGGTGTCTATCAGGATGAAGCAATGAAAGGGAAGGCATTGGCAGGCAGAACAACAGCTTTCAAGGTCTTTGCAATAAGCAATGACATTGCGCTGTTCACGTCACTCTCCATAGTTATTGTTCTTGTCAGTATCATCCCCTATCGGAGAAAGCCGCAGATGAGATTGCTGGTGGTTGCTCACAAGGTCATGTGGGTAGCTGTGGCATTCATGGCAACAGCTTATGTTGCAGCAACATGGGTGGTCATGCCACGAAACCACGGGACGGCATTTGTCCTTGTCACTCTGCTGGCAGTTAGTGGAGGCACTCTAGGAACAATTTTCATTGGTCTTGGAGTGATGCTGGTAGATCATTGGCTGAGAAAGTTAAATTGGAGGAAATTTAAAAGGGGAATATGGGGGGGAGCTGCAGATGAATTGGAAAGCCAAAACTCTGATGTTGAGAGCTCCTTCCATCAAGGATATCACTCATACTGAATGTAAAGAATATCTGAACAAAATAATTGTAAAGAATATCTGATTTGCAAGTCATCAAATGTACTAAGTTTTATACGTACTAAAAAAATCTGAATTTCATTACTTAAATTTGTAAAGGCCTCTTGGGAAATTGCTTTAGTCTGTATGCGTGTGCAGGCACTTGACTCCCAATGAGCAGTGTTTTACCTAAGTGGTTGAATATTGTGAGTTTCATAGAAAATACTGCTAGTTCTTATCAAACCTCAAGACCTAACCAACATCTATTGGCTTCATAGTAATAATTAATTATAAGGTTCATGCTTTTCACCCAAATTTATGATTGTGCTCAAGTTATATTTGTTCCAAGTTGTCTTCATGGATGGGATCAAATGTATCCATGTTGAGTATGTTACGACTTCAGTCCAAGTTTTTAAGTGGACATATGATCGCCCAACAGTTGTGCAGTCTTGTATACCCTCACATCCTTAATCCAAGTCACAACAACAATCTTTCAGGAACTGTTCCCATTTAGCATATGCTTTTGCTTTGACTTCATTTCTGTAGAATTTTATCATTTGTGTTCCAAAAAGATTTTATTTTATTTTATTTTATATAAACAAGCCAAATATGTAACAAATAAAAGGTGATCAATTAGAACGTAAATACTTTTTCGACAAAACTTGGTTTAACTTTTCACTGCCATATGATACTCAGAATGATTATTCACTTGCTTAGCAAAGGATGTAAACATTAGTCTTCATATGTAATAAATTTTCCAACGTTTTGACCCCAAAAAAAAACCCTGCAGAATCATGTTCTTAGCTAAAACTAAAATCAACTCCCTGCCTTGGTACTAAAAGAAAAAAAATGGCATTAGGTAAAAGAAGATCTCTGTAGGAATCAAACATAAACAACCTAAGAAAAAAAATAGGGAAGAAGATTATGGTGAGGGACATACTAAAGCTAAAAATGTCACACTAAGAGCCATAAAAAGTGCACAAGGTGCAATCGTAATGGCAACTTTTAAGCTTGGTGAGGGTGCAGGAGAGTCGGAAAAATACAGTTCAGGTGGGACAGCACCCGAAAATTGAAGAAAGAAACATGAATTTTAACTGTATGTTGAAGGCAGTACGATTTCTTAGGTGGAGGGAGGGTGGTCAGGACGGAGAAATGAAGGGGAACGTGCACCCAGTCAACTAGTCAATGAACCTTAAGCCTAAAACAGGGCTACACTAAAATGTGGACCACATAAATTTTAGAATGATTGGTGAAAAGAATTCATTAATGCATTTCTCAGCAATTTCTTAGGTGTTAATCAGAAAGTATACTGGAGATTTTTTCGCCACAATCCGCGTGGAAATGACAAGAGAAAAAGCATAACCTGGCTCCTTGAAGAAGACGCTTAAGATGTTGGTTGACATGCAGCTGACCCTCATCCTTAAAGGTTGAAGACTTTTCAGTATTGCTAGGGGTAGCAAACTGTTGAAGCATTAGGTTATAGATATTCTCTTGTCCTTGCTTAAATTAAATTGTACTGCCTGGACCATTTGGTTGTGGAACATACACATTCTGCTCCAGAACTTCCCCCTAGAGTGAAAACTAAAGGCTTGAGGAAATGGATCCAGAGCTTTTTGAGGCAATTGAAGGAAATGACAAGCAGACTTTCATCAATTTGGTTCAACGCAATGAAGGATTCCTCAGTCAAAAAGCTGGTGAATCCAAAAACACTGTCTTACACCTTGCTGCGAGGTTCGGGCACGTTGAGCTGGTTTCTGAAATCATTAAGCTGTCTCCGGACTTGGTTGCAGTTGTGAACAATAGACAAGAAAGTCCTTTACATGAAGCTTGTCGGCAAGGGATAGCCGATATTGTAATGCTGCTGTTAGAGGCCAATCCTTGGGTGGCTTGTATGTTTAACTCTGAAAATCAAACCCCCTTCTACATAGCTTGCCGTTATGGGCATTGTGATGTGGTGAAGTTGTTCACAGACCTACCACGGGTACAAGATTTTGAAGAAGATGGGGATTCGAGTCCTCTTCACGTGCCCCTGTCACCAGGCCATGTGGGTAAGGCTGAGAGCAATTTCATTCACTACGCGTAATTCATGTTAAAGCAATGTTGTTTGGTTCATTGTGAACTTACATTTTGAGCTAATAATGTTGCAGATATTAGTACACCACTTTTGAATGCACTCTCAAGGCTTGCACGGAAGGCTGACAGAAATGGATGTTTACCATTGCATTTGGCTTGTGAGAAAGGTCACTTGGAGATAACAAGAATACTCTTACAGCTTGATCCAAACCTTGCTCTTGAAAAGAATCATTCTCGTTACACGCCGTTACACTTGGCAGCAATGAATGGACAAACCGAAATCCTTGAGGAACTTTGGTCCAGGTCTCCCAGATCTTTCGAAGTTCTCACCGGAGAGGGAGAAACAGTGTTTCATCTTGCTGCCATGTCCAACAGATACAGTTCCTTTCTCTTTTTGGCACAATCTCTTAACAGCACCAATCTCATCCACAGGCCAGACGAATGTGGAAACACCGTCTTGCATCTAGCAGTCTCTACAAGGAACTTTAGAGTAAGTTTCTCCCTCAAAATTTACCATTCAGTTTACTTCTTATAGGTTTTCTCTTGAGGAACAAATTTAACATTATTAAGTGAAGAACCATATGATGGAAATCTTGGCTTCTTCAACTCCAACTGATCCTTCCACATGTGGAAATTTCAGTTAGCAGAGTACATCCTTGACAAAACCGAGGTGGATACCAATGGTCGGAACCATAGAGGTCTAACAGCCTATGACATCCTCAACCAAGAATTTAGCATCATGACGGGGAACCAGCATGTTAGGTACATGTTGAAGAGAATTGGTGGCAAAATGGCACAAACGCCTATTGAATTTAACCTGCACCAAAGTGAACATGATTACAGAAATGGTGTAGCCAACAACCAACCAATGGAAGACTTCACTACAATACAAGCAGATAGTAATCCCAGTCATCAAGTAACAATAAACTTTGGCAACCAGATAGATAGTCCTTCTGCACCACCAACCAATTTGCATCGATCCAAGCTTGTGAAGCAAAGAGGGAAGAAAAAAATAAGTGCCGTTAGGCAATATGAGATATATAGAGAGGCCCTACAAAATACCAGGAACACAATCACAGTAGTTGCCATTTTGATTGCATCGGTTACTTTCACCGCTGGCATAAACCCTCCCGGGGGTGTGTACCAGGAAGGACCACTAAAAGGACAGTCAACAATTGGAAGAACAACTGCTTTCAAGGTCTTCACAATAAGCAACAGAGCTGCATTGTTCTTATCTATGTGCATAGTCATTGTCTTAGTGAGCATCATTCCTTTCCGGCGTAAAGCACTGATGAAGCTACTGGTGGTTGCTCACAAAGCCATGTGGGTGGCAGTGTCACTCATGGCCACAGCTTACATTGCAGCCACTTGGGTGGTCTTGCCACACAGTCAAGGAACAAATTGGACCCTTGAGGCTCTCATATCTGTATGTGCAGGGACTATGGGATCTGTTTTTCTATTTCTTGGTGTCACATTCGCTAGACACTGGTTGAGGAAGTTACAGTGGAGGAAAGAAAGAGGTAAGGTTACCAAGGAAAGATTGGAAAAAAGAGCACAAAGAAGAGCACAGAAGAGGGCAGAGAAGACAGCAAAGGAAAGAGAGCGGAAAAGAGGAATGGTGGAGAAGAGAGCAAAGGAAAGTAGAGAGGAAAGTTCGCAAGAAGGATCAGACGATTCAATGTCTATAAACTCAGACACTGCCAGTGCTCGAGATTCGGGATATCATACGTACTGAAGAATTGCTTAGGAGTGGGAAATTGATCACCTAACAGAGGAGGATGAAGATGTAATTACTCTCAGTGTTTAAAAGAGTTTAGGTTCCCATGTAGCATATGCTTTTGCATAAGATTCCTTTCTGTGTAATTTGATCGTTTGTGTCAAGAAAACGTTACTAGGTAAAAGCAGATCTCTAGAGGAATTAAACATAAGCATCAAACATAAACAACCTTAAGACAAAAAAAAACATAATCATCAAACATACATCCCATCCCAACATTACATAAATGAAAAATAAAGTTCAACATCAATGAATAATTTAAAGCAAAATACGGAGTCACAATAGATCCTAACAGCCAGAATAAAAAATATAAAAAGTGGAAGAAGATTATGATGAGGAACATACTGAAGCTAAAAATGTCACAATAAGAGCCATAAAAAGTGCACAAGGTGCAACTGCAATGGCAACTCCTAAGCTTGGTGAGGGTGCAGGAGAGTCAGACAAATACGGTTCAGGTGGGACTGCACCGGGTGGAGGAGGCTGTGAGATCGGGCGTGGATCCATCACTTCGATAAAAATCCGCTGGCCATTCTTGCAGTGATCAGGAGCTCCACTGATAAAATAGAAGGGGCCAGGCCTATCAAGTTTCATAATGCTCTTCCCGTTATCAAACGCGATTATGGGATTGCTTGTGTTGCAGTGGTAATAATCCCATTTGTCAACCTCAAGAACTGAATCATTCTTGTACGTGAAAGCTGTAAAAGAGTCGAGAAAATGAAAACAAAACAAGAGCAAAGATAAACACCAAATAGAATTTCGACTTCCTTTCTAGAACTGACCAATTCATGGTTTGTGAAGATACAGAGATTTGGACGACTCACTTTTGATTGCGCACATGCATTTTTGGTTAACAAAACAAAATATATTCGGTAAGGGAGGCATATCTTCCAACTTCTTAGCAGGGGTGTTTTTTTTTGTGTGTAATCATCTTGCATTTTCCGAAACACATGTTTTGTACCATGGAAAAACTACACATATTTTGTTAGCACCAATTCTCCATATAGCTATCCATATTCGGCACCAATTCTCTAACAAAGATCATATTTCCTCAAATTTTCTTCAAGTTACACTAAGAGAGAGAGAGAGAGAGCTACTGCAAAGATTTTAGAACTCACAGAGAGAATCTCCGACATGAAATCTGTTCCTGGAAGCCCACTGAGTATACAGAGCGCTGTTGTTTAAGTCAGGTTCTTGCCATCCCAAATCATCACCCACTTGGAACTCTGTAGCAGCAGCTTCGGCACAACAAATTGTGACAGCCAAGAAAACCGTCAGCCAAGTTTTGAAGAGACCAAAGAAACAATAAGATATGTTCCTCTTCATAGTTCTCACAGGAGGTTAAGAAACAAGGGAATGGAACTGAAAAGTGGCCACGACAAGAGTATATATGATGTTTGTAAGGGCAGGCGGGAAAGTCATGGGTGGATTTTATGGGACACGTTGGTGAAAACGTGAGGTGACTGTTAAAATTCAGTTCATAGGAAATTTGGGCTGGGTTTTAATTTCTTAATTGTCCACCCTGATGCCTGGTTTGCATACAAGACTGGGCATCAGAAGCCCGATCTTTAGACTAGAGTTAAAATTTAATCACAAGAGTTATGTGTTAGACCAATTATGAGAACTCACACTTTTTCATAAGAATTGAAATTATTAATTAAATGAGGATAATATAGTAAATTCACACTTTTTCATATTTAAAAAAATTAAAAATAAAAAAAATCAGATAATAGATCCTATTTTTATAAAACACAACTACCCATTATTTTTTCCAATTCTAAAATAATTTTAAAAAAAAAATTAAAAAAATCTCTTACATGCGCGGAAGAGCGTGCAGAGAGACTAGTTTATACTGAAGCATCCGTGCAAAAAAATTTGATCGAATTGAGCTACTAGAACCATTTCGTCCAAGTAGCCAAGTAAATCGAATAGATTAAGACGGGGTAGGATACAAATGAAACAGAACATCGGTAAATTACAAATCGAACAAAAGAATACTGAAGGGGGCTTCTCCCTCAGATTAACGTTTCTTCGCATGACTTCCCCCGTATTTCTTCTATGATCAACAGATAGGGTTCCACAACCTGCTCACCCGGGCTGCCGAGCATGATAAATATCAATCATTGGACAGGATGCTCGCGAAATCAATCACCGCTTGAAATGACATGCCTGACTCATATGTTTTGCTTCCTCCACATCAAAGATAATTAAGAATCTACCATATCTCCACATCTTATTCATAAGTTGCTCCCCAAAGCTGGTTCCTTTTGGTTCATCATCATATCTTGGAACTGCTTCCGTTTGGCAGCCCTGATGTCAAGTATGCTAGGTGGCATAGGTTTGATTGAACCATGTAACTCAACTAGGCTAAAGAATTCTTGTTTGGTTAGACTCTTCTTCTGGACAAGTTCATCCACCACCGCATCCATGAGCTTTCGGTTTTTCTGCAGAATCTGTTATCCAAAACAAAGATATGTAACTTTGTTAAGGTAAGAATAATAGAAAACGTCACTGAAAAAGTCTTTTACATTACCTCTTTTGCACGTTCATAACACATGTTGACAATTTGCAATGCTTCAGTATCAAGGTCCTGAAATAAGATTCATTACAAGGCATTAATTGTATATTCACTCTTTACCTGTTTGCTTCTTGCATTCACTTCTTAGTTACAGGAACATGAACATATATAGACATTGGAATTTTCAAAGCAAAAACCAACTCAAAATCACCAAGTATAAAGAGATTGAATTACATTGAGTCGATCTGCAACCCAGAAATTAGATAGCCCGTGATGTTTCTCTGAAAGGCCACCAAGAACATACGTTCGTGCAGCTGACCTAGCATTGTCTGCCGTTTCAGCCCATATAGTACTTAACTGGAGAAAAAGTACATGAAGAATTCAGATGCATCACCCATAGACTTGAAAAGGAAAAGTCACCTTATTTACAAGATTTGGATCCACATAAACAATGTATTAACCATTTTCCATGAGAAGTCAGATGATCCTAACATATATTGTGCTCTATAGCATGCAAGTTGTATTACAAAATGCAAAAGCTTCCTCAAATCCATAAAATGAGTAAACCACAAAGGCACAAATCAATATACAAGACATATAAAATGAACCCTTCCTATTAGCAATGTATTTTCTGAAGTTGAGAAACTGGTTTTACTTTTTAATTTTCTGGTTGCTATAGTTGACTATATTTTTCTACAGCAGAGTTTCTACATACCACAACTGAACATACAAGACATAATGTGCACATAAAGGATTAGAGATTTTCTTACCTGATCCTCACCGAACCAAAGTTCATCAGCTGCACGTGGTGCCAGTTGAACAGTGATATGATCCCGGAGTGATTGCCGACTTCATGACATGGGGAGATATGAGAAAATAATTATTCGAAAGAAACAATAAGCATGAATTTCTAATGCAACATCAACAAGAAGCAGCACAATTAATATAATGGCATTACTAAAGACATCTACTCCTAAGTTCACACCCTTCAAGGACACCGCATGCTTGATCTTATTGTATTGTTCATAGTATTTTAGTTTGCATTCCTGACATGCTTGATTTCCAGAATATGCCTCTCTTGTCATTCATATTTCTACAATTGTGATCATCTCATATATTAAAACTTACTTAAGATTTAAATTACTCTTAGTGTTAGTTAATAACAACCTATATCTTTAATGACCCATTTAAACAATTTCCAATCAATAATATCTTCATTAATATATTAATATATTTGAAAAAATGAGGAAAGCTCTATCATCTTTTTTGAATTAAGACTTCCTATTAGTAAACTTTATTACTTAAAATCAAATGATTGACCTAGATTGATTAAAAAAATTACTTTGATGATAAAGTCTCACTGTTTAACACTTCCTATCATTAATAGCTATGACTTTAATCTGAAGTACCATTTCTTTCTACTCTCTAGATATATACTTTAACTTTTATATTCAGTGATACACTAAAGTTGACATGCAATTCACGTTTAAGTGTGCTTTGAAAAATGACTAAAGAAATAGGGATACAAAGGAAGCCATACGTAAGCATTCCTTCTTTGAACTTGATAGGATCCATTTTCATTCTCACATAACCCAACTCCCTACCAGCTCTAGGAGCAATTGTGACCTGCACCATATGAATAAACTGTTAGAAAATTTCTACTCATTATTTTATAGGAAGTAAGTTTCTTCTCAATGTTACACTAACAAGAATATTTGGACGAGCATAAATTAAAGCAAAAAGTGAAATTAGCTAATTTAAAGTCAATGAACCCAATGAAACATAAACTATTCCACAAAGACATAGAATAATATGTGAACTTCTCATTTCTCAAATAGAACTTCAAATGAGCAATGATTCTAATCTTTCATGAACAGTTGGGATATATAAGAAAGATATAAAGGATGACCAACAATGAGTAATTATTTGACTTGCTTAAAATGCCCAGCATGTAACGTAGTGTAGGTTTGAAACAGTATATGCTATGAAAAGGTGAAAGTGACGAGGCTTGAGTTTAAGGACCATACGAACTCAATATTTTTAAGGTCAGGATAGTTCACAGCAACAACAGCCATAGCGGCCTCATTAATAGCTACTTGCTTCCATGTATCTAAACTTCTCTCCTTCCTATCCAGCATTCCTCTTTCTTCCATTTGTGCAGCTTGTAATAGGTCATCGGTGGTAATCTGCACATACAACAAGATCAAATGTTCAAAAGAGCAGATCAAAATGTGAGGCATAAATAACTAACTTGAAAGCATTAAGATATTCAAATCTTCAAGAAATCAGCTGCACATATTCAAATATAGGCATAAATGGGCATAAATTTTATAAATTTATAATGGAATTTTAAACCTGAAAGAAAAACATTTTTTTTTAGAAGAAACAAACTTTATTAAGCAAAAGAAAACGGAGGTGGATAAGGCAACCACAACCGAAGAACAAAAACAACACAGAAACAAACAAACAACACCATCCCCTCCCAAACTAACAGGGTGGGACAAAACCGAAAAACCACAGAACACACCCCCCAACCCTCAAATCACCGCAGCTGCCATATCCCTCATAATAGTGGAATAAGAATAGTCTTTAAAATCTTTTGTAACAGAAGCCCACAAAGCTGCCCAGTACTTAACTCTATCCCACAGATCCCTCACTCCCACTCCCTTATAGTCTTCAAAAATTCTCCTATTACGCTCCATCCAAATGTTCCAAAAAACAGAGTGGACCAAACAGCCCCATAAGGTTGAAGCGCGCTTCCCTGATCCCCAAACCACAAAGTCAGAACAAAGGAAATCAGAGCACCCTTTTGGAATCACCCAAACAGTCCCAACCTCCCTCCACAAAAGCCCCCAAAGACTTAAGGAAAAAGGGCAATGTAAGAAAAGGTGGTCCACACTCTCCTCACAATGCTTACATAACACACACCAATGAGGAGACAGATACATAAAAGGTCTTTTCCTTTGGACAAGGTCTGAAGTGTTAACTTTCCCAAGCGCCACCAACCAAACAAAGACTTTGACCTTAGGAGGAGACTTGGCCTTCCACACACGAGAGAAAGGAGGAAAGGTCACAACCCTCCCCTTGTTGCGCAAAAAGGACTGAAAGGACTTGCTAGTGAAATAACCCGACACCTCAAGATCCCATCTTCTCCTATCCCTTTAGAAGCACACAATCTGACTCCTTCCAAAATTTCCAGCAACTTAATCACCTCGGCAGTCTCCCTTTCATTCAGATTTCTCCTAAACCCAAAATCCCAATCATGAGGAAAAACCTGAGAACCAACAAAACAGTCAATGCTTAAGGAATGCTTTGAAGACAGCTCAAACAAGCGCGGAAAAGAGTCCTTCAACAACCCCTCCCTTACCCAACTATCCTCCCAAAACCTGACCCTAATCCCATTTCCCACCTCGAAACTGCAGCACTGTAAAAAAGTTTGATAACCCGCCGAAATGTCCTTCCAAGGGTTGAGAGATGTAACCGTAGTAGCGGGATTAGCATCCCACCCATTAGTAGCTGACCCATACTTGCTTTTAACCACCATAGCCCAAAGAGAATTAGGTTCCATGGGGAAGAGCCATAACCATTTAGCACGCAAAGCTTCATTCTTTTCCTTCAAAGAACCCACACCCAGCCCACCTTCCTCCTTAGAGTTAGCCACCATCTCCCATTTAACCAAATGATCCCTCTTTCCTTCCTCCACTCCTTCCCATAAAAAGGATCTCATAAGCTTCTCCAATTTGCTAATAACACTGGCCGGAATTTTAAACAACGACATATAATAAGTAGGGATGCTACTCAAAAACATAATTATTATATTTGTATTACCAATCCCGAGCTCGAGCCTCTAGCACATGTTTTAAGGTGATAGATACAGAAGACCTAAATAACTTTCACATTCATAATTAGCCCCTGGAAAATCTAGCAAACACATTGATACATAACTTAGCCAAGTTTGTTTTCATCCTTCTTCTTTTTTATAAAGGTTTTTCATCACTCATATTTCTTTTCATCTTCTCTTTTTAGTGCAAGGTGCAATATCAATCAATCAGAAAAATCAAATGATATGGGGTGTAATCTAATAAGAGGAAGTAATACCTCAGTCCTTCCATCACGCATCATGTTGATTGCGGCAACCTCAACTATGTTAGCTAGCTCTGCACCAACCATTCCATCAGTCATACTAGCAATAGCCATATAGTCCACGTCTTCAGCCATCGGCTTCTTGCGTGCATGGACCTATAATCAGGACACAGAAACAAACTGGAAAAATATAAGCCAGTTATGGAAACAATAAATCATTGGGGCAATTGAAAATGGGCAGTCTTGCAATGCCATATATGCAGTGCAAATGGTACAGGATATAAGTTATGGACTACTACCTTCAAAATTTCAATGCGACCTATAAGACCAGGCTTAGGGATATATATCTTTCGATCAAACCGTCCAGGTCTGACAAGAGCTGGATCTAGAATATCTGGTCTATTTGTGGAAGCAATAGTGATCACTTCACCTCTTCCTTCAAACCCATCCAAAGAAACAAGGAGCTGGAGAATACACACAAAAATGAACAATTTACAAAAGTCGAAGTTTAGTTGAAAAATTTTAGTACTAAGTTCAAATAAAAAAACATTTATATATTCCCAACCTAACCTGATTAAGAGTAGCATCACGTTCTTGCCCACCAGAACCCTTGATCAAACCACGCTCCCTTCCAACAGCATCCAACTCATCAATGAAGACAACCGATGGAGCCTGTGCATATAAACTCAAAAATCATGAGATGTAACAATTTGTGCACCTTTGCTACACCCTCTAAAAGAAAAGTACAAACAATAAAGGCACAACTTCTCACCTATATCTGTTATCTCCTTGAAAATGATTAAACAGAGAAATGCCATCATTTAACACTTACTGATGCAATAATATTATTGAAAACTAGTTTCCAGACTAGCCTATTGTATAAGGAAATTAAAAGGACATGGTGTGGAAAAAATGTGCAGTATGGTGGTTGGTGCAGTGTCAAGAGAGTGAAATTGAACAGCGAATGTCAACACTTACGTTTTCCCTTGCTTCCTGATAAAGTGCTCGGACACGAGATGCACCAACCCCGACATATATCTCCACAAACTGAGAGGCCGAAATGGAAAAGAAGTTGACACCTGCCTCACCAGCTACAGCTTTTGCAAGCAAGGTCTTACCCACTCCAGGAGGGCCACAAAGAAGTATCCCACCTGATCAAGAAATTAATGACCCGCACAAAATAAATCATGCATAAAGCAATACCAATAAACAAACAAGTAAATGGAAAATAATTGGGAAAACAGAACAATCAAATCAGTGTGCTTTCAGTGGAATCAGAGAATAACCAGGGCATATCAACAATCGTTCAACACAAGGGCAGTCATATAAGTCATATATTAAGCACAGAAACCATGTCATATAAGAAAAGCTATCTAACAATGTCAATAGCTCAGCCGCATTGCTACAGCATCTAACCTGGTATTTTAACTCCTCTTCTCCTATACATTTCACCATGAGTGAAGAACTTGACAATCTCCTCAAGCTCAAGCCGGATCTTCCCAAGGCCAGCTACATCCGAAAACTTGACATCCACGCCTCTCTCCAAATACTGAGGCAGCCTCTTATTATGAGCTCGACGCACCCGAGCCCCAGACTTCATGAACTGCATAGCCATTTTCAAATAAGGGTTTTGCTCACCCTTCCCTTGCTCAATCTCCTCCTCCTCCTCACCCTCAATCCCCTCCATCTCCCTCTCCAATTCCCTCATTTTCTTCCTCTCCTCCGCCTCCGCCTTTTCAATCTTCAACCTATCCTCATAGTCCTTCTTCTGCCTCTTATAACTAAACACTACGGTCCTGTAAAAAATATAGAAGAACACCAGTCCAAGCGCAGTGGCAACATTGGAGTCCTGAGCCAAATTGGCCCATACATTGGCCATCTCCAGATAATTCCTACGTGCCTGACGCAACGACTCATCGTGTTTCTTTTTCCTCATCCCTCTCCTCGCTCTCCTCTCCTCCTCTTTCTTCTGGGCCTTCATGGCCTTATCGATCATATCTCGTTCCTTCCTCATTCTCTCAAGCTCCTCCTTCCTCTGCATCTTAAACTCCTCCCTCGCTCTCCTCAACTCCATAGCTCTCTTGCTCTCCTTCTTCGGCTTCACAAATGACGACAAAAACGCCGGCCATTTCGCCACAAACCCCAAGTACGGTGACGGAATCTCCGGCCGTTTAAGCGGCGGCGTATAGGCATTGACGCACAAAGACTCGATTTTCAACTCTTCCCATTGTTCCCAAAACCTCCTATCGCTATCCACCGAAGGCAAAACGGTGCGTAGAACCCGATTATCTTCGAGAACAACCAATACGGGCTCTACCCTTTTTTGCAATTCAACACCAGGAGGCTTGATAACATGTTTGAGCTTACCTTCCTGGTTCAATATCAAGAGCTGGGTGTACGGAATTCGATTGGAGACGACGGGGAGGCCTTGGGACCAAGACTCGAGCTCTTGATGAGATAAAGCTTCGGATTTTTTGAGCGAGGACTTCTTGGGCACTCGCTTTTTCTCTTTGACGGCGGCTATGCCGGTTGGGATTTTGGGGAGAGCGGTGGAGATTACAGTGAGAGTTACAGAAAGCTTGAGGAAATCGAAATTGGGTTTCTGGGTTTTATCGTTTTCATCATTATCATCCGTGGTTGAGAGGTGGGAGGAAATGGAGGATGGAGCGAGAGGTTTTGGTGGGTTTTTATTGAGGGTTTTGGGTTTGGGGTTTGGGGATAGAGAAGAAGATGAGTAAGAGCCCAGAAGGCATTGGCAGGCCATGGAGTTTTGGTTTGTGAAAGCTTAATTGTGCCACTCTGCTACATTTCAGAAGCGAAAGTGATGTTGATGAGACGTGAAGCTGAGGGAGTGCGTGAGTTTTTAGCATAATCAGCTTCCATCTTCAGCTTCTTCTCCTCAGTTTCTGTGCTCTGTGAAATCTTTCAAAGCTAAAACACTTGTGTATTCTACGAGATAGAGTATAGAGACGACGGAGAGGGTTCATAAAACGACGACGTTACAATAAATTTTACCCTTTGTCATAGTGGGTTTTTGTAGTGGTCCAATTTAGTTGTACAAGTCCAGTCCCAAGCCCAAAATTGTATGGGGCTCTTTGTTTATTAAAACCCAATCCTAATATTGGTCACTTTGTCAACTTTTCAGTCAATTATGTTGTATGTTTCTGACCGTTATTTTGCGTCTCACTTTTTTATATATATTGTCATACGGGTGACATGTATGCACAAAGAATGACGTGAAAATTAATATGAACAAATCAGTGAAACTTACATGCACCACATCAACAGTTTTAACAGAATTTTTTACAAACTTAACGAATGAAGTTCCCGCTTCTCACATCCTTGCATATCCAAGATTTTTTTGTTTTTCATTTATAATGTGCAGGAAGAGTATTTCTCTCTTTCCTTCTTTTTCCTCATTAGAATAGGAAATCTTTCTCTTTTTTTAACTCTGTTAACTTGGGTATTGCATTGGTGACTAAAACATATAGGTACGTAGTTTCCACAAAAATGGCCAGTAGGCTCAGTTCTTGCCCAATACTAGCAACCATATTAGCAGAAGCATTCTAACAAGCTGATTATCAAATTGCACCATAGGCATCCATCCAGAATTCCCAGCATTTGGAACTTTACCATACCCAGCATCCAGAATTCCCAGCCTTAAAAACAGTGGGATTAATTATTTTATTTAATGTTACATAACTATCATTACAGAGTTGAAGCGCAAGAACATTAAGCAAGTGCAAAATGATGCAACTCCATCTCATCAGTTGTTTGAGAGCCAAATCACATTCTGGATAGCAGACATGGCCAGCAAGAGGCAGCTTAAGAAAGTGCAGGCTATTGAGATTGCAACATGGTCGCAGAAAATGTGCAAAGGTTTACAAAAATCAGGCAGAGACGTGTGCCGGATCCCAGTACGGTTCAGGTTGCTTACCCCGGATGCAGCTGACCCTGCGCTCATCATTGCATATGCAAATACCTGTAACAGAGATTAAAACACTAGGATCACATTCAGATTGTAGATGCCGAATTTTGAAAGGCAAATGTATAATCATTTTCTTTTCTTTCTTTTTTTCATCACAAAGCTTTTTTATCCCTAAATCTAAATCTGTCAATCACTATACTCGACTCTGTAGCTCTAGTGTTAAAGAGCATTCACCCATGTACTCGACTCAAGACCCCGAATTCGAATTCCCCTACCCTACTTCACCATAAAACCCGAGCTCTCCATTACACCATATATATGTCTCCCATGTAATTGCCTTTGGCTAGAAAAGTGATAGAGGGAATGGTGACTACCTGATCCCCAGCATAAGTAAGCCATGCATGATTTCTCGAGGGAATTAATGGAGACTTCCTCAGCAGCCTTGACACATTTATTACTAGTTGCAGCAATGAGTGAGCTACCACAGCTGCTGAAACTCCCACCAGATACCTGCCCACCACAAATTCAAAACATTATTCATTTACTAACTCTATACTTCGCCTTCATATCCACCCAAAATCACACTCCTACAACCCAGCTAGTATTTTGTTATACGCCGGTGGTTGTCATTTTGGTGTTTTCTTGAAACACTATGTTCGTCTATTTTATAGAGTCACAATTAGATATCTTAACGTCTTATAAATTGTCTACCTTTCTGTAAATATGACTTGTGAACGAAGACTTGAAAATAAACATTACATACATGATCTGTTTGGTTTTACAATTTTCAGATCGATTGATTATTTTTGCCCCATTATGAAGTTGGTTCATCCACAAAAGCATTTCATCCATTAGTTATGAATTTTCAACAAGTAAGACAAAATGTTTAAACGTGATCAAGACTAAAATATAGAATAAGAAAACGTTAGAGAAAACAAAAGAAAAAGAATAATCAGTCAGTCACGGGTCTTTATTCTGTTCATTCATATGGCATGTTGGATAGGGGGTTAGGCAGGCAGGGGGAGCCTCAAATATTTAATCTGTTGTCATTTTGGGAAGGGAAGCGCCAAACACAAGGGCAAATTCGTCAACGTCAAACTTCAACTGAATCAGTCAAGGGAGCATGACAAACAAACCAAGACAAAATTTGGTGGAAACCCAGTAGTAAATAAACACGAAAGTCCAGGGGCATTTTAGTAAACCGAAAAAAGTACGTGCTGAATGCAACAAACCTCCGTCATGCTTGGATTCGACTCTCCGGTTGGTTAATATGAACAAAAACTTGCATATTTCATGTTTCATATGTTTTTCTCTCGATCTCTAAAATGTATGAAATATGTTACATGAAATTTTTATTTTCTCGATTTCTAAAATATATGAAACATGTTACATAAAATTTTTATTCATCGGTAAGGTAATAAAACGCATATATATGCATTAAATTAAAATTATTCTCTCTCTTCTTGTTTTCATGGGAAGGGTGTTTGAGTAATTTGGGAGGGGAGTGGAGTGGAGGTGCTTACTCGAAAGAGTCGGCGAAAGACCACTTGGAGTTAACGGGGAGCTGAAATCCGTAGATGGAGACAGTGCTCGCCTCCCTGGCTGTCACCATGAACGACAGCGCCGTCACCGAAGCCACCATGCACATCACCCTCAGGCACACCTGTGCCACGTCACCCTTCCGGAGCAAACCACGTGCTCCGGCGTCATTCATGGTTCCATTGATCTCTACAACCACCTTCCCGACCTCCACCACCTCCTCTTCGACCGACGTCGTTTTTCGGCTGCTCACCATTTCTCCTCTTAATTTGATTTTCTGTGTCTTCTTCTTCTTTTAAGCTAAGAGTTTTGTGTGGGATTTGGATGTGAAGGAAATGCTGGTACAAGTTACAAAGTACGTGTGTGTGCCAAATTGCCAAGTAGAGCACTGGTTTAGTGGCTTTTTATAAACCAGGGGGGCTCTGTTCCCTGCGGTTACGTACCCTACGGTTCTTACATTTGAATACAGCCAAGAACTAATTGCAATTTGTTTACTTTCTTTTCTTTTATTGCATGGAAGTTTGAACTTAACATCTCTATCCTTTACTTCTCTAGTTTCATGATACTATGATGTTCACAATCAACAATTGTCTTTTTCTTTTTTGAATCGGGAAAGTTAGGAATGTGGAAGATAATGAAATTGGTATGTGCTTATTTTTAATTTTTAATTTTTTAAGTATTGAATTATAAATTTTAACGTGAAACTTACATAGTTTTTTTATTCTTTAATTTTTTGTCAACGTATGAGAAACATGAATAAGAATAATTCCAAGACGTACGCATGCATTAGTAAAGATAAGAGAAGAGAAGTATAATTTCAACACTCATTCAATTTTCAATTATATATAAATAAAAATTATTGTAATTCATGAACAATTTATGATAAACATTCAAACATGTAGCATTATTATATAGAGCATAACTAGAGTAACCCTAGATTTTGTCCCATGAGATTATTATAAAAATAATCGCTAGCTAGCTCTCTCTCTCTCTCCCTCTACCTACGTAGTTTATTGTATTTTAAATGTCCTTGCAACATTATAAATGATGGAGGTTTTTTTGGATTGGTTAGCTTAAGTTAACTGCTGCATGAGAGGGACAGGTGGAGAGAATGTAGAGGGAGAGAAGATGAGCCCCGTGAGTGTACATATTGCAATGGAAATGATGCTTTCTTGGTTGGACTCTTCACAGTTCACTGCTAGCTAGCCATGACATAATGAGGACCTCTAATTTTCGTCACTGGAGTCTGGAGAGCCTCGTTGGGCTCTTCAATTTTCAGAGCCTTCTGGCTACTTCTCAAAACTCGTAACATAAACCACTAAGAGTGGTCTGGTGGTTTGTCTGCTATTTGGGTAAGGCTCTGGGGTTCGGTTGGGTTTGCTTCTCAATTCGAGTCCCAGCAGTTGCAACACTTGGTGGCCAGCAGCAAGTTCAGTTCCGCGAGTGTAGATTAGTTGAGGTGCGCGTAAGCTGATCCAGACACCTCATGATACTTACAAACAAAAAAAAAAAAAAAAAAAAAAAAAAAAAAAAAAAATTCATAAAAGAAAAATAAAGATGTTGTGTTAGGCAAAATATTAGATGCAAGGGGGCGGACTCACACTACCCTAACCAATTGGCCTAATCCACTTTTGCGTACAAATAGAACTTCTAATCAAGAACACGGGCAAACTCCGGCCTCAGTCATTATCTGGTCTCATTATCAAACGAAGGTTTTGAGTTCAAGTTTCATCCATGATAATTGTTGGATTAAAAAATGGTTAGGGTAGACAATAAATACCTAGACGTCAGATGGGCATAGCAAATTCGGATAGTTTGGATGAATGATGAATCACATCATTCCCTATGTGGTAGGCATCCATCACAAGTGATAAGTACTGAAATTAGCATTAAATATTGTATTGCTGAAAGACGAAAGCTTCTCAGTTCATTCGGAGGTCATCTCTGGCTCCATTGCTCCTCAATTTGAGGTCATATTTTAAGCGATTGATAGGTGGATTGGAACGAAGATACTAGGTTCGACTTGAAACATTGAGGGCAGCATGGGCTATTGTGACTAGCGAAGCTCGGGCTCAAAGTTTGTTAGCTCCAAATTTATGATGTTGAGAGTTGAATTGTACCAATATTCTAACCAAGTCTATAAGAGAGAAACTACTTGTGTGGAACGGGGATAACACTATTTTGCTATTCCCGGTCAATGACGGTATGTCACGTGTAATTACTTTTCAATTTGGCATACCGTAATTGACCCAAGATAACAAAACAGTGTTATCCCCATTTCACACAAATTTTTCTACTATAAGTGGGAGTAGAAGTTAGAAATAGCACATGCGAAAATGGTTTTGATGGTCTGGATACGTAGAAACCTAAGACGAACCTTAGTTTAATCCTAAGACCAACCGTAGTTTGACAGCTTAAGACTGACCACAAATCGGCAGCAATCTTGCTGAACAAGTAAGCATGTACGGCCAATTTGACATAAAATTCATTCCATTTGATATCAGTCTGATACATCCTGTAGTAACCTAAAAATCACAAATTAACAGTGCTCGCACATCAAGATGCAGCTTGCATGTAATAAGCAAAACCACTTATTATCATACATCAACCGCTAGTGACTTAAGTTTATTAGCCTCGAAAATGTTGGAGTAAAAAATAAGTAAAGGAGATTCCAACTAATAAGGACGTAATGACCAGACAATTCCAACTAATAAGGGCGTAATGACCAGACACCTCTTTCAAGTCTAAGCTTCAAATTTTTCGCAACAATTATATTTTCTCATCACAAATGCCGCAGTACCAGTTTGTTGACCAGAGCAGCTAAACTCCAAACATTAAATCCATGACTTTGGACACCATTGACTTTGTTGGGGAAGCAATTGAACCACCGGATTGTCGCGCACTGGTACTACCATTTTGAAGATAGTAAGAACGAGGGGGGGCTCTTGAAGCATTCAGTTCTGCATGTTTCATGGCTGGTTGGGGGGGCAATGTCATGAAACCCTGATTGTTGATCCTTTCATTTAATGCATGGCGTTGCATTGGATCCAGTGGCTTCACACCTATAATTAGCGCCCCATTAATCTGCATCCCGTTCTTGCTGAGAGCCTTCTGAGCATCAAAGTAATTCTGCACCACCAGAATTAAGAACAGTTAACAATTTTTACTCAAATTGACATGATATATCTTCAGTCTATTGCAGTTACATCCGTCTGATACTTCAGCCAGACTGAGCAAACGAAGAGAAAAGGAGGGAATAAAGGTAAGTCTTTGGCACACATAGACCCACGCACAAAAGACTACAAGTACAACAAACCCAGAAGAATTTTACAGACAAAAAGGCAAAAGAAAAGGGCAAAGCTCAGAAGGACTACTTAGTATCATCCCTAACTATTTTGACTCAATTTCATGGCAAACTTTACTTCAAAATATTAACCAAACAACAATGGTCTACATCAATTCACCACTACCTATGCACACAACGTAGTGTTACAAATTCCCTTCCATTTCATGGCAGCATCATGCCAATAATAAACCCAAGTTTGAATGGAAGTGATGTACGGTGGTATTTATTATTATATTCAACAGACTTGAAATAATAGGAATGAAGAGAATATTAATGCTTGGTATAAGAAATTTGATTCATCAAACTTGAAATAATAGGAAAAAAGAAGAACCTGATATAAGATGTGCATCCAGTTGGCATCTCTTGGACCAGGAACATGTTTCAAAATCATGCCACATTTTTCAAACTCTCGTAAAACTAAATTCGTATCACCTGGAGAAAATCTGAAAGAAAAAAAAAGACTATTAGAGGCTATACGGATAACTGAATAAAAACTACATTTTAATTACTCAAGAAGATAGACAAGCAAGCCAAATTATAAATATAACTTCAAAGGGTCTAAGCTTAATTGAGATCAAATAAGCTTCAATAAGTAGACTATAGAACTTTTGCCCTACAACGTTGAAAACCACCATGAGATATTAAAGAAAAAAAGAAGTTTTGAGAGTTCCCTATATAAGTTTTAGAGTGCATAACGAAATAATACCGGTCCTCTCAACTGTGAGCTAGAAGCTCGGTATGGCAATTTATATAAATTAGTTCAAAATTTATAAAATACCAATCACCATCATATAAAATATATTACATAATCAGATTGTCTTGCTTCTAAATGTTTAATTACCGAACAAGATCCCCCCTTTTTATTCTGCAAGTTCAACAAATTCTATGTGGTTAAGAAGCAAAAAGGAGCAGAGGCTTGGGGAGAGGGTTGTGGTTTGTGAAATATTAAGAGTCAATCGACAAACCACTTGCTCATCAATAACCAGCTAAAAGACATTTGTCACTGTAGAACACTTATTTATAACAAATATTAGAAATTTCTCAAGATTTTTGAGACTTCAGACACATTTGGCAAGAAAATAGGCTCTTATGATCACTGACCACTTTAAGTTTAAAAAGTATGTCAGGGGTACATTTGATTCAAGCATATCTGAAACCTTTAATAGCTTGGAAAACAAGAGATTATTTCTTTTATTTTTCTTTTTAAACTCTTTTCTTTGCCCAACAACCACCAGGAAATAAGGCCAAAACCACACACAACACAGCAAAGATGGATTATTACGGATAAGATAATTACCAAAGGTAGACTAAAGCCGAAGGTTATACATTATATATCAGCCAAAGATGTATGAATTTATATATACCCAAGAACAAAGACAAAGGTAAGGTTAAAGAATTACCCATAGACAGTAACCCATTCTTCCTCGTTGAGGTTCCCTGCAGGCAAGGTATTCCTTTGCATCTCTGGCCTTGCAACTTCCCTTGGAGGTGGAAGAGTGATCAGAGCACCAGGCTGAACAACACCCTCAACTGGTGAATTCCTTCCCTTCTCATCTTGCTCACCACCACTCTTTGGGGATGACCACCAATTCATACTCGCTGAACCCTGTTGGCCATGCTGTCCACTTGATAGAGCATAAGAAGTGCTTGCTTCTGATCTGTTTTTTACTGGAGTCAAGGAATCACGTCCGAAACTGTGGACCGGAGTTCTAGGATCTGATTTTATTTCCGGGGATACAGGGTAATCTGGAATTCCAGATTCAGGGGAAAAGTCTGAGCGGTCTTCCAATGTGTAAAGCGGAGGAGGTGGAAGATCTGATCCCCCACCACTCTCACGCCATAGAGCAGAGACTGCAGCTGCCTGGCCTGGAGTCGAAATTTTTCCTCTCCGGGCTGAGACTGGCGAAGTTATATCTTGGAAAAACAATGACTGCCTACCCGATTTGGGAGTTCTATGTGCTGTGGTGCTCATCCTGGAAATTTTTTTAAGTACTGATTCCTCTGGAAAATAAAGAATGTAAGACTTAGCCCTCCTTTTGGTTACCACATAAACAATAAAACAAGTAACTTTGTTCAGGTAAACAAAAAAACACACACAACCAGTTGTTGCAGAATGTTAGTCCTTAGGGACCCTGGGTTCACTTAATAATGCACTACCTAAAAAAAAATATCTACGTTCTTATTTCTTTCCTTTTCAGCAAGCAAAACACATCATCATATGAACAAGAAATACGAAGGCCAGACTTTTAACAGTAAATAAATAAATAAAAACCGGAACTTTATTTATTTACTTAAGCAAAGCGAATCACAGATATAAATTCCTGAAATTCGGTGAATAATTCAAACGAACAAGATATGAAACACTCAACCACACTAAAATCGCATAGTTCACAGTTTAAACAAAACCTAGTCTATGGGTTTTCTCCGTTTGGTTTCTGAGAAACGAAGAAAGTCAATAAATTACCGAAAAAACTAAATCGACTCAGTTAGAGCACGAATGCGTAGTAAATCTAAACCACGAGCTTAGAGAGAGAGAGAGTACCTGGGAAATGGAGGCAATGAGGAGTGTGGCAGCGATTAGGGATTGAAATAGGAGGTGCTTTCTTTCTCTTTTTTTCCCTCCTAAAGAGGGCGTGTCTGTGAGAGTGACTGTGAGAATGCAGAGCTGCTCAAATAGGAGCCAATTCGGAACCCTAAACCCTCATCAACCAGGAATTCAAATTTTCCTCTTTGGACAATGGTTGTATTGTTTTTTTTCCAAATGACGATTTTAGCCTCGTCCCGCTTCCCATTTTACCTCTCAATTGCTTTTCGAAGGAGCTTCCATTTACACCCCAAAAAAAAAAGGCAACTACTCATCTCATATCACCTGATTCACCTAATTTTAAATTTGTTTTAAAATAAAATTTTTGCTCAAAGTATTAGAATATGATAATTTTATTTTTTTTAACAAAGTAAATTTGTCATTAATATTTCATTAAGTGGTGGGTCCAGAAATCTTATCTGTGACACGGATCGGCATATTTAGATTCGCTCTTTTCTACCGGTGACAGCGTATACTTTTCTGTGAGAATCTTCGATTGTTAATTGTACTCGGGGCTTTTCGTTGTAATTTAATTTTATTTCCACATTTTATAAATTTAAATATAAAAAAACTCCAATCAACACAACAAAATATTTAGTGTATATGTATATTTTATATTTACCTTCTTTTGTCATGGGCGCCAAACTTTTAGATATGTAATGTCATTACAGGCATGTACTAATGACATGAGGCATTACATTACATAAACGCCCGGCAGAACATATGTGTATTGGCCTAATAACGACACTCAAATTGCTATGAAGAGCCAAGATTTACATCCAAATTTCTTTGTGCATTCTTTTGGCAATATTAATAAATATTTTATCGTTGGAATGTGATGCTTGATTAGACTAGTTAACCATATGTTTTAGATATTAACAAAAACTTATATTTATTTTACATATATAATATTCTCATATCGTACAATCTAATAACATGACATGTGAGATTATGAATCAAAACAACAAGAAGTTTCAAAATGGGGCTGACAACGGTTCGGTAAGCCTTCCTTGATCGGGGGATTCAATATTGACAGTAGGGCACAAGCACTGGCAAGGGGGCGTTTCAAGAATTTGAGCCTCCTCCTCCTTCCACTCCACAACCTTACTCTGCAGTTGCTCACCCTCTTCAGCAACCATATGCACCATCTCTTTCATTGAGCCAACGGGTCTCAGTCCCTGCAGACAAATTTAGATTAGCTAGGGGCCGGCGCATGAAATTTCATTATGTATTCAAATGCATATGTTAAAAACACACCTGAATGAATACAGCTGAGGCTTCTTCTGGTTCCATTTTCTCAACCACATCAGCAGCCAGTTCCTGCAGATATGAGAAACAAGGAGATCAGAAGAAGTTCAAACCCTAATCCAAATAACGTACTGCAGATACATTAAATATGTACCCTCGCATGGTTGAGTTGTCCTTCACTCAAAGTCCTAGGCTCCAACTCAATAGAACAACAAACTTTAGCCATGAAAAACAATCTATCAAGAAAAGCAATCCAATTGGGTAGAAGTTGCAGGCCATATGCCAATCAAAACCAACAGTTTTAGTGTTACTATCGCTGCTTATAAGACTATCTAGTCTATATATATAGCATATATTAAGACCTGAGCCGATATTTTAGGCAAAGTCACGGACTGTATATAGTGACTGGTGGAAATTTTTGTAGAGCAAAGAAGCTTGTTACATCCCGTGGGCTTCTGTGATAGAAATTGATGGCCTATTTTGTATGGTGGGTAATATATGAACGTAGGGTTGTGATTGAGTTGACATTTTGGTGGAGGTGTTTTTGTGTGAGCTGTGAATTTGGTGAAACAACTGTAACGAGGGATCAGTAGCATATTGGTTAACCCTTCCATTGGTCTGGTAAGAGGTGAAAAGATGCATGATATATAGGGTTTGCTTGATTTGATTTGATTTTTATGGATTTCTTAAAAAGGGTACACTTTCTGGGGTTCAATATTATTGAGTCTCGACTCTCACTAACAACATTTGAGTGAGGATTGATCAATAGTATGTGCACCGTCGTTCACACGCATATTGGCGATCAGATATACAAAACTAAAATTAAATACACACAGTTTTAAAGAAAATGATGAAGAGAAAAACTTACTTGTAACGAGTGTATATACACCATTCATCTCACAATAAGTGGTCAGATAACTAACAATGTCAGAAGATGTTGCGAAAGATTATACACACCCGCTGTATGTAAGCCCAAATCCCCAAAAGGCCAAGCCCAAGAAAAGGCTTGAATAGGCCCGGACACCAGACTCATAATTGAATGACTTGGTTTCAGAAATTTGCATTTGGTGCCAAAATTGTCAATCCTTCTGTTTAATTAGACCAGAATTAAAAGAGGAAACCCCAATTTTAATTAAGTGGCAAGACCATTAACATGGTAATCATGTTGACCAACCAAATGCAGTCAAACATTACAACAAGGTTAACAAGAATAAACAAACAAGGCTAGGAGGAGCCTAGGAGAGGAACTGAAGCCTACTAAAGATAGCCAACTGGTTTTTCTGCATAGCCATGTGCCTGCTTATCCTCCCCCTCTCTCTCTCTCTCTCTCTCTCTCTAGTGAAATCATGTTACTTGGGCTACCAAGAATATGTTAAGTCAATGACAGTTTACCTTAATGTTTATTAATTAGTTAGATGATCAATATTACATTGCTCTCTAAGTTACTCAGCAATCTTCTGTAAAGAGCTGGCAATTGAAACCTGTTGTTTGACTGCAAATCTGCAATGCATAAGCTTGGAACTTATGTTCGGACCCAAAAAAAAAGCTTGGAACTTAATGTGGGCATGCTTTGTTTGTTTATCAAATTTGGTCAAACAAGTGGGGGGTCAAACTTAAAAGCCTCTTGTTCATGTCGTGCATTTGAAGAAAAAATAGGAAGATTTTTGTGTTTTTTTAATTGTTCCATGAAATGATATGATACTTTGCCAGATGTACATGTCAAAATCACACACAGGACCCAAACAGACCAGAACCTCATGACATGAAACAAAACCATCTGTTGGGCCATGTGAAGAGGAAGGTCACATAGAATGGAGAGGTTCATGGGAAGAGAGACCTTTTCTTTGCTTGATGCAACTTGCTCCTTTTGAAAAAGAAAAGCCTAATTGGCCAATCTGTCATTGTTTTTGCTCATTACCATTTGTAAGCTTTCCATCCATTCTATTTGGCATATTTTGTTCATGTTTCAAAAACTCATTTCGTGCTCATGTGGGGTTCTTTTAACATCTCAAAAGAATGTGGTCTCACAATGCTAACTTATTTTTTTCTTTTTTGAAATCCTTTTCGTCTCAAAAGAAACCCCTTTTCCTTTTCAGTCTGGTCGATTAATTCCTGCTTGGCTTTTATCGTTACCTTTATACTAATTATGCTTCCACCTAGTTACTGTTAGATTAATTGAATACAATAAATACATGAATATTACAACATGAATAAAAGCAGAGTTATCCATCGATTCATACTGAATGAAGAAGACATGGCAATTATGAGAATGATATTCTTCTCTCTGTAACACCAGAATGTTCTTGCTATTAATAAGTTAAGCAAACTACAGAACTCGTGTATTGTGAGAGAAGGGACCGATTCTTTTATATTGAGCAAACCTTAACACTTTCTCTCCTATTATATAGATAAAGAGTTTAAACCAAACTAATATACTTAAGTGATTGAGTAATAGTCAATATAAACATAAGTAATAGAAGTCCGTCAAAATTGAAAGTTTAACAATAACTAATAAACATAAATCTCATTATCTCATTCTAATTCGATAATTATAACACATGATTAGGCCAACTCACATAAGTCATCTTTACAGTTACTTGGCAATTCTAAGTTACCATTTGCATACTGCAGGGTTCTGATTCTTGATGAGTCTTGACCAAAGCATGTTATTACAATCGTACCACTCTTCGTCACTAGATGTTATCATTTCACTTATGTTATAACGTACGTTTCTGTAAAAACCCATTATATTGCCTCCTATAGGTCATTTTACCTAACTTCCATTAATAAACCAAAACATGTGAAATTGCTTGTCGCTCTACCCAAGTTGAACTTCCCTCCCATCTTAATTAATTTCTACATACGCAACTAATTAAGTGTGAAATTATAATGGTCATAATAAATTCACACAAAATAAAAAATATGAGGGAGAGGGAGAGAGAGAGATGCAAAGTCATAAAAAGGTAGCTATGGAGGGGACAAGAAACACATATCATATATCTGGTTAAGAAATAACATGGGTGGGAAAGATCTTGGAGACAACTGGGAAGCAAAGCCATTCTGGAAAAAAAAAAACAATTGGATATATTATCCAAAATATAATTAAACAGAAACAGATGCAGGCATGCACGTCACGTACGCCATGTGCTTGGGTTTCATCATCCACATGCAAACCCCCCCGAGCCTCCTCCATTTCACATTCTCCGCTCATTCAATTCAATCTGCTCATCATTCATATATATATATATAGGAAAATAATTATATATATATATATATTTGAAAGCAAGCATGCATATATGTGTACTTTTGCGTACCCTTGTTCTAGTCTTCTACGTATATGATGTTGTGGCCTTTCAAAGGCAGGATAAGGTAAAGGTAGAGCATTATTATTATTATGTGTACCCATCTTCTTAGCTTTGTATGACCCATCACCTGGCATTGTCTTTCCATGAAGTGAAAGCTCTATTTTATATGCACATCATATTTTAATTTGTGTTCAGTTTTGATGTAAAGTGGCCATGTCTATCTGTGCATTGTCTAAAGTAATCTTGTTCTCATTCTCTTCATTCCATTCGGGTGACTACTTCTCAATTATATCAACTAGTTCTTAGCCTAATGATATTTCTTTTTCTATACTAAAGAAAGTAGTCTCGAATATTTGAATATTCATTTCCCTTCTAATTCAGAAAAATGATATGATATATAGAAAATGTCAAATATATCTATATATTTTATTAAATTTCCTCCTTTTAAGACATTCAATCTACTCACTCTCTCAATATAACGTAGTTAAATTACACGTATCATATGTGTGATCTATCTAATTTAATCTTAAATGACCGTGATTACCTCCCTTATAATCACAATTCACAACCTAGAATGAACATAACAAATTGATGAATATGAAGACTAATAATAAGACAGTGGAGCCCATGGAAGGGAAAATGTCCAGGATCGGGTGGACAGTTAAATCAGTCCCCAAGTGTACCTAATTCGTTGTTTAATGATCCCCCCCCACATGACCTTCCCTGCACCATTTTCGCAAGCTTACGCACTATGCAGCAAGCAGCCAATGCCAAAATTCCCCTTGAAATTGTTTTATTTACTTTTTATCTCCTCTTGCTGCTCGCATTGGTTTTCAAAGTTTTTAAAACGCACTTTTATGTAAAATGGTACGTACACAAAACGACGTATCAATCAACAAACTACTTTTCTAAATTAAATTCCACCATTTCATAATTTCACTGAATCCCATGCTCTTCTTCTAGCTAGCTCCTCCTGTCTGCCTGCCTGCCTGCCTGATTATTCTCTTAAAATGCCCTGAAATTTGGGCCCTCGATACTCACAAAAAGGTGCCCACTGATCAATCACAATTCTAGTTGCTACTCTTTTCGGATGTTGCTCTTTTTGTGCTCCAAAAATTTCTCGAGCTTGAGCCAAATATTATTATTTCATGCAGTTCTCCATTGGCCTTATGACTTTTTTTTATGGATGTCCAAATGTTATTATCGTGCAGACATCATTATAAATATATAAAAAAGCAAGACGAGATAATAAAAAATATGTGACATATTCGTGCTACCTAATAATATGTTTGTGAGTGTGGGATGCTTGAAAACTTGGACAAAATTGTGCAAATTTTGGTAGCTGAAAGTGATTGACTTTCAATCAATGAAAAGCTAAGGAGGAAGAATTGACTGATTAGAAAAACAAAAAAAAATCTTGGAATTTGGAGTTGTGAGCCAATGAGCTAGCTCCTCCTCATGTGCATGAGTGCTTTATGTCAACCATTTGCAGAAGCAAAGGCACTTCATCAGCACTATAGATGCTTCCTATGGCTCATTTCATCAAAGTCGCAAAGCCATTTGTTTGAATTTTTTTTTCTTTTAGCATACCATTTATTTGATGTTAATTAATCTATTTCAAATTCAGGAAAAAAAAACATAATTAATATCCGTATCAATATTACGGTAATATAATGTGATATTTTGACAACATAACATACTAGATAATCTAACAATAAAATATTTTCTTGACACTGCACCGAAGCAAATGGCATTTCCTCTTTTTAACAAAATTTGTTGATTTTATTAATTTAACAAAAAAAGAAATTGAAAACAAAATGTAGGTAAAATTGATATTCTGAATTTGCCAAATTCGGCAAACAAAGAAAAGAAAAGTACAATACAAAGCCAAGGCCCAACTTTCTCCCTTCCCTTTTTTTTGTTTTTTGTTTTTTTATTTTTTTGTTTTGTTTTTTTTTTTTTTTGGCTCATTACAAATTACAAATTTTAAGACCAAAAAATTAGCAAATTAAGCTAGAGAATTCTTGTTAAATTTTGAGAGGTGCACCCTAACTTATCCTACTCTAGCATCACTACATCATCCGCCGGAAATCGTTAACGTTATGGTGAGGGATCAAGTACTCATCATGACCACCGCTGGATACGCCAAAAAAGGAACTTTGACTGAGAAACTGATGCTGATGTGATCTATGGACCTCCTTTTGTCTCCGGAGCTCCAAAACCTTCCTGTGCGAATTGGAATGCCTAGCCGACACAAAAGTGGGGCTCGCGGCAGGACGGTACTCGGGCACAAGCCGGCCCGACTTATAGCGAACTCCACACGCGTTACAAAGTGTTTTTGGGCCCATGGGGCCAGTCCGCCATTGCGGGGTCTTTTCTGCCGCGCAATGGAGGCATTTCCGGCCCGAAGAGTCGGAACCCGAGTTCGAATTGCCGCCAATACCATCTTTCTTCTTACACGTTGTCGTTTTGGGAGGCTTGATGGAGTCATTGGGAGTGATGAGGTGGAGGAGGCGCGTGGACCAGTCTCCGGGGGCAGCGCGTGAGCGCTTGCTTCGGGCTTTTCCTGGGAGAGGTGTTTCGGAGTGGAAAAGCGGTGCGTTTTGATTCGTTTCAGAGGACGAGGACGTTTCGGGGGTTTGAGGTTTGGTTGTGGTCATGGACAGGAATTGTAGAGCTTGCAAGTCCTTCTCTGCTGAGAAGGAGTCTTCCACAAAGTTCGATAGCCATTCTAGCTCCGCCAAGTCGTCGTGCTGTAATCAAATTTAAATAACACAAAATTAATCAAATTTGCACTGAATTTTGCAAATTAATAAAAGTTTATTTCATAATTAAACATAAAATTAATGTACTAAATACTAATAGTCATGCATATTGCATGCAAAAGCTAAAGAGTAAAGCTATTTCCATCCTTTTTTTTCCTCCACTCCCTTTGAATAATTTGTCCAATTACAAATTTATCCTTGTACAAAATTGCTAATTATTTTACCAATAAAATTTCCGCTATTTAATTATAAAATTAACCTGTGGCTCATGCAAATTGCATGCAATGGCCAGAAATGAAGAGTTAATTAAATCCAAATGTACGTTAAGAATAGTGGTCAGGTGAAAATTAATGTAATTAGAGTTTTACCGGAACGCAAAGGTCGCCGGAGAACTGAGAGTCGCCGAAGCTCCGGTTTCCAGAGAACTGAGGCTCTCCCCCGGAAACCGATGAATTGCAGCTGTCTACGGCGGTGACGGCGGAGGAATCGGCAGCGGGGTCCAAGAACCCGCCGTCGGCGACTAGAGCGTCTTCGTTGGAGAAGTCGAGGAGGTCGTCGACGGTGAATTGGTCGCCGGCGGCGGCGGGCTTTTTCTCCGGGAGAAAGTCGGCCGCTCCGGCGTCGAAGTAGCCTCCGAGGTAGAACTCCGGCAGTTCCATTAAGTGCAGAAATCGCAGTGGTTAGAAAGAGAGAGAGAGAGGTGAAGAAGAGAGTTTGTTTGGTTTGTATGGGTGAGATAGAGTGGGTGAGAGAGAGAATGAAGGGGGGAGGGGGGGGTTTTGAGGAGTGAGGGGAGGGGCAGGAGCGTAAATAAGATGAAATTGGAGCATCATTTTACATGCAGAGAGGTTCGTATTAAATAATGAGGGGAAGGTGCTGGCCTTTTTGAACCGAACCCTTATGAAACTCGTCACATGATCGCTGACACCACCTCCACTTTTGTCACGTGCTTTTTGGACCCACCCCCAAAAACCCAACCTCCCCTCTTAATAAAGCAAGGCAAAGCTCAAAATAAATATAAAAAAAGAGGAATTTACCTTGGATTTTGGAAAAAAAAAGAATGTAAAATATTAATATGGTTGACAAAAGCTTTGTTGGGTAATAAATGTTAAACGGTAAACAAACGGACCTTATCCAATTTACCAGCGTCAATTCGTCATGGGGATTAGCGTCGACTGACTCGGGCCCATCTGACTCAGTCTTGCAAACCATCATTTTTCATGTAGGAAAAATGTTAGTGATTATATCAATTTTTATACACTAGATATTGGCAAACAAACTTGGTTGAAAAACTGTATACTGTTTTATTTGTATTTTCATATATATAGAGAATCCCTCAAATAAATTTATTTAATTTATATTTTTATAAGACTCACTCTTCATTGAATTTGAGTGATTCCACCGTCGAATTTTCAAGTTTGAATTGATAGATCATTTTTGCAAAAAAACACAAAAAATAGAAAATATTGTATCATTTAATTGGAAGGTAGTCATTTGAGTATTTCTTGAAAACCATTGTTCTTTTGTTTATTTCATCACAAGCACAACTAGATGTCTTAATAGTTTACAATTTTTTTAAAAAAAAATTTGTTCAAGAATAATTTATGAATTTTTTTTTTTTGTCAAAGAATACTCTATGAATGAAGATTTGAAAAATCAACGATTTGAATTGTTAACCTACAATATTAATATTAAAATAAGCTTGTTATACTGTAATAATAAAATTGAACATTTGGGCATAAAACTTGGCAAAGTAAGCTTTTCCTAACATTTGAATCCTCAAATCTAGGAATGTAGGCTATATCAATCTCCTAGAAGAGTAAATTTTGGGCATTGTTTATAAACTATATTGCTTCAACTAACAGCCTTACTCTTGCTCTAACACACACTTATACAACTTTATGCTAAGTAACGTTATCTCATAAGTTAACAAACCCTTTTTATATGAAGGGAAGACAGAATGAGAGGCTACAATCCATCAAATTTTGCGTATAATTATAATTATAATTATTTTATTTTTTTGGGAATTTAGATTAAAGAGTTCGAACATGAGACTACTAATATCGTTGGCTAGATCATGGGTAAATAATTGAACTATTTTCTAATTCATTTTGTACATTTATGGGTCGATTTTATAACATAATAAAAGCTATAGCTCTTTGTTTTGTTTTGTGTATTTAATTTAAGTCCAAGTAATTTGGTTTTAATTTATTTTCGTAGGAGGGTTTTACCCAACAATTAGAACCAAATGGTGAAAAAAAAATCCAAAATGGAAATCCTCAAAAGATCATATACGGCAGGTAAGATTAAATCATCAAAAGTGAAAATCCTCCTAAGTGGCCACGTGGATGAGATCAAGACCGTTATTTGATTAAGTCGAGCTGTAAGCATCGTGCTTAAACGTGGGTGGGGAATATAAATAATGGGTTATGATGGGGCAATAGCGGCAAATAGGGGTAGAAAGTACAATCGATTAAAGTTAAAATATTGCATAAATCAGAGGGGGAAAACTTAAATTAAAGTAAAAGCACAATTCCCAAGAGCAAAAAATTATTAGGAGCAGAGGAATCCGGCTGTAAACTTGGACACTATTGGAATGCAGAGCCTTGGGAGGAATCACAGCGACAAAACCTGGCAGAGATCGATTCTGTAGGGGTTGAAAATTCATCTTTAATTTATTTTTTCTCTTCGTAAGTTATGCTAATTACTTTAGTTTTGTTGCAATTACTTATCTAATAATTGACATTAAGAGTAGTGCTATGGCCGGACAGTCGTGTAAGTATTCTCTATCTGTAAATTTATGCGGGTTAAACAAAAATCCTAACATTTATAGACTATCATCTTTAGTTTAGTTTTGTACTCTTTAATCAAAGAACTTAATCATGAACCAAAGCACAATCCACCGCATAATTAATTTAATTTTTGTTTGTACAAGGTATTTTAAATCTTAATTTCTGTTGTATCGACACACATACGAAAAAAAATATAATTCAACAAATTTGACATTAATTTAAGCAAAAAAAGTAGAGAATACAGTTCAATTGAGCGTACGAAACAAGTATGTTGGCTTCGTTCGTCAGCCATTTGAACCAGGCATCGACTAATTTGATTTTAAAAAAATTATATAATTTTATTTTTAAATCGAATGGCATTTGTTAGGCATAAAAGGAAATTGGGTTGCATGTAATTGGGGAGGCTGGTAAAGTCCACGTGGCTGGAATCTATTCATGACGAGCCCACCTTCATGTGGTGCTTCCTTCACACGTGCAATATGCTTAGCATGTCTAACACTAACATGGTAGCACGTGTGTAGTGGTCACGTGCCCCTCTCCTTAGTGCATGGGCTTTGAACTTGATTAATTAAGGGGAGGGAGCTTAATTATGGGATGGCCTCACACTCAGACTCACTTAGTGTATTGAGGGGAGGGAGCTTAATTATTAGTGTGTAATAGAGTGAGTTAGTGTATTGAGCTTTAAGTTGGTTTTTGGTGAACAGCTTTATGTTGCTTGGTTGCTTCAAATTTACAACCAGAAAAAAGCCTTCTTGGGTTTTAAGCAAACTTTTCCAGCTCAGATGTATAAAGTTAAAACTCTATTATGGAAATATATAAATATATATACAATATTATTGGTATGAGCTAGGGTTAAACCCAAGATTGATGATAAGATTTTAACAGGTAGCGTTAAACATTAAATATGTAGCGTAAGGGGCTTGTAGCTCAAACGATTTAGAGCATTTACTCCTCTATCCCGAAGTATTATAATTCTCTCTTCCTCAATATCGTTTGTATAAAAATAAAAATAAAATGTAGCAAGACCTGCATAAACCACACCCATTGGGATAATTACACAAGACCTGCATCATGCTCGTTGTCTTTGAAGATACATGAAAATTTTTTAGGCCAAAATGAAAAATGTGAGTAAGGAATTTATAGAGCTACAAAGTACGGCCCAGACCATTAACACTTTGAAAGGGCAATGCCTTCATGAAAGAACAGTTTGGTTTTAGTGTGTAATAATGTTTCAAAAGCAAATTATAATTGCTCAACTTCCCATCAGTTGGATTTTTTTCGGGTACCTTTTCAGCCTCTAAGACTCCAATTGCTTAACATGCAGTGTTCAATTCAGACCATGTTTGATCTATTTCAGTCACTATGTATGGTGTTCCAAGATTATGACAGAATAGTGTTATCCAATTTCAAAATTAAAACATAATGAGAAGAGAATTATCACCCAGCATAAGAGCCTCACACAAAAATAGGTAATCTTTCAAAATTAAAACATGAATAGCAGCGCCAGCTGTGCTTAATTGCCATTAGGAAGTTCAGACACAATATAACTAGTTCAGAGAAAGCAGTCACCAATATAACTATTTCCAGCAACATTTCGGTAATCAAGCAGAACTGAACATCGAGGGCCACCTTCGGGTGGTTGCCCATGACAAAGTATAATTTCAGTATAGAGTTAAGGTGTTTCAACAAGCAAAAGTGTCTTGATGTTGAAACATTGAGGAGAAAACATGGGATATTTGGTGTCAGGAGAAAAGGTGTTCAAACTAGGGTTGATTATGAAGTTGAACAAACGACACAACAAACAACCTTGCAATAACTTTGAAGAATGAAACATAAAGCTTTTGAATCTCAACACATGGTTGCAAAACAATACACAAAGAAAAGAAGGTGCTGCAGCCTAGAACCTGTCCTCCTCCTACCCTAAACACATGGTGATGAATGACCATGGTATCCCCTCACCAATTTTGCACTCAAAGAATGGCCCCTCACATGTTTTGATAAGTAAACCAATTCTACAATACTCAAGTTATGCCATCAATTTCGACCGAAAAAAAAGTCATGCCATCAACATGAACAACAAACTCCCAAGGATATTAATAATATTAATAGAAAGTACAATATAGCATGCTGGCAGAAAATGAAGTCATTAACGTGGCACCACACGCCATTTTACAAAGGTAGCATACAAACAAGCAATATGTTAGAGTGGCAATGTGCAATATGCTGCTGCAACAAAATTCATAGAGAATGCAAGGAATAAGATCATGCAAATCAAACCATGTCCAAATGTCAACAAAACCAAAACATTTATAATGATCATACTACATATTCATAAAGCTGCATCTCCAGCAACACAGTAGTGTTCATCAGCATCACCAATCAAGAATAATCAACTTTATGATAGTTAGATCAAAGTCTTAGTATATGTTCATAAAGGAGGTTCAGATATAATCCGCTATAACAGAAGCAAACTTTTGAAAATATTCTACGGCTCAACTGTTGTCACTTGTTGCCACTCCCCATCTACTACTTCCTTCCATAATGTTACGTTGTTGTTCCCATCAGCCACGGCTATTATGTTTCCAGTCAGCGACCATGAGACCTTATAAACAGGTGAATTGAAATCATGCAGCACCTTACCATCCCATTGATCCCCATCCTTGGCCACAGTCCATATAATAACTTTCCCATCCTGTGAGGCACTGGCAATTGTAGATTTTGGCAGTCCCAAGTTGGGTGCCCAAGCAACATCCCTAACCCAATCAACATGCATTTGAAGAGCCGGAAAGCAGTCCAGCTTCCAAACCCCATTACCAAGCTTCCACACCTTTACAGTATTATCACAACCACCAGAACAAAGCTTCTGAACAGGGTCAAGCAGACCAGAACCAACAAGAGCACCAGGGGCTGTTGAGGGAGCCCATGAAACAGAGGTAACACCAACTGGGTGAGCTTGGTCAATCCTCGAGGTATCCCAACCACCATCCGCCCTTGCAGTGAAAACCGAAATGTTCCCATCAGAAGAACCGCACGCCAAACAAAGACCGAGTTCATGAGGAGCCCAAGCAATTGAGTTGACAGACGACTTGTGGTCATCAAAAACATGGGCTTGGATCCACTCATTCTGATTACCTTCCTTCCACAGTATAACACGCCCATCATAAGAACAGGAAGCAAGTAAAGACCCAAACTTGGGGTGAGCCCAAGCAACCTGCCAAACAGGTCCCTGGTGACCAGTAAGAGTTGCAAGATGTTGAGAGGCCGAGTTGCTGACTCCAATTATCTTAACGGTGTTGTCCGCCGAACCTGTGGCGAGACGCTTACCATAGTAGTCCATAACCACATCGTGAACAGTGTCTTGGTGACCAGTCTCAACCTTTTGTGCAGGCATTTCACACACTATGATGTATATACTGTGTCAAACGTTGTAGATCAATAAGGTAACCCAAAATGAGATCAAAACAAACTAAAATCTTCTAAATTCTAATGGGTTCCTCCAGGAAATCCCAAATAATCTGGTTACGAAATTTTAATTTTTTGTTTTTCTCTCAAACCCATCTGTTTAGTTGCTGACCACATTGGAGAAAAAATATATTACAATGTAGAAAGTAACAATGAGTCTTGCGTTTACGTATGTGATTAACAATACTGAAACACAAACAACCAGATAACCAGACGCAATATAATCAGTTTGTATCAGCAGTGCGATCTCATAAATAAAAATAATAACAATACAAAGATACCCTAATCGATTAGAGCAAAGATTAAACGCACAAACTGATTAAAAATTAAAAATTCTTTTCCACACAGATTCATACAATGATCTTAGAACTAAAACAAAAACTGCCGAAATGAAAATTGTTACAGAAGAGCGTAGTGAGAGCAAGAGATCTAACCCGGGAAGCAAAAATTGCGATCTGAAACGACGCAGTTTCTGGACGAAGCGAATTGCTCTGACTGCTGTGATGTGAACGAAGGAACTCGAAAACAAAGACACCTCCTTTCCCTCTCTGATTTGAGCCTTTCTATGCATTCAACGCTTTGCTAAATGAACAGTTATTTAGAGTGTGGGCCCAAGGCCTAAAACTGTATGCACTAGTTGAATGGGCCCACAAATTGTATCTCATTAAGGGATGCGGCCCATTGGGCCTGGCAGAAGTTATTGGCCCACAGACAGACTTCAAAACCACGCAACATATGGCATGAGTGCACGACAGGGCCGGGGACGGCGCCGAGCAAATCGCCTCCACCTGAATCGAAAGCCATCATGGCGTTTGTTCGCCACGTCATGGCTCCTTTTCTCGAAGTCATAGCCCTGTTGTGGGCCCCGCCATTTGCTTGTCGGGTCATGCCTTGTCTCCTCTCGCTGCATGCGGGCCCACATCGAGCCCACCACCGGCCATTAAAAGCCCTCCTCCCTCTTCGAAATAAAAGATTAAAACAATTAAATAAAAATAATAATAAGAGAGCATAGTATTTGCCATTTGGCAATTTCTGTCACGTGCATGTCATGTGCTAAAATTAGGGCCATGTATGCATGATGATGGTTTGTTTTTTTTGAATGTTTTAGATGGGCAAGGGCAATGCATGATGAGATGAGTGGGTCGTAGGAGGAGTGTGCATAATTGTCCGAGTCCAGAAGTCAAAATTTCCGTACTATACCTACGTCCCTATCCATCGAATTCAATTCACCACACCTTTTTTTTTATTTTTTTGGTCGTAATTTCACCGCACTTGGTGGGTCGTCAAATGAATTATACTTCAATTAAAAATAAAAATAAAAATAAAAACGGAAAACAAATTAAATTAAATTTTATTGGTTGAAATCCATAACAAAATAGTATAAACTGTGTCCCCCATCGGACGCGTTTGGTTGATCGTCCCCGGTCACTCACATTTCGCAACGTTCATATACCATGCACTAACAAGAATTACATTATGTATTATTTACTGTAACTTCTTAATTAAGAGTTAGTAATATCAAGCCCGCACCCTATTTTCTTTCCATTTCTTTGGATTATCACGCTTTCTTCTTGCTCTAAGGCCCTTGTACACTTCCTTTTTCTCTATTTTTATTATCTCATGCCTCGTTTGGTGGCCTGGCTTGAATTTGATTAGAATTGACTCCAAGTCAGTCCTTATTATAGTCTTATCCGTCTAAATGAGACTTGTAAGACACAATATGTTGGACTATTGTCCAATTTAATAAGTCGAGTACGAGCACACCAAACAACGGTCAAGACTCTTGACCATTTTAATTGAAATAATTTAGTCCAGTCTCACCAAAAACTCAAAGTTTTATGCGGTGTCTATATAGTTGGGAATGCAATTATCAACATATGAGCATGAACTTCCCTTATAAGGGGAATTTCACACCATCAGTTTTTCTTGGGAAAGCATTTAATGCACTCTTTTTTTTAAACTAACCTACCTTCCAGGAACTTCAATTAACTTATTATCTTCTAAACTTCAAATACCATTTTTGACCATTGTAAGTATTAATAATTTTAATAAAAGTGCAAGTGTATTACAATAAAATTGGACACATTTTAATTCCTACTTATAGTATGCAAACCAAACATTGGAATGTGAAAGAAAAAAAAAAAACCATATTTCATTGTCCCTATTTTACAGCATTCTCAAACACTAGAATTAAACATCGAAGTTTCATTTTTAAGAAGTTCATTTTGTGTACCAAACGAACCCAAATCATATGCTAAACTTGGTGAAAGGATTAATGAATAAAGTATCATATGCTAAACCTGGAAGTATATATGTCAATTTTATTCAATGATGAAATAGTAACCCAATAAGTTAATTTTGGTCTAACTTTAAAGCCATTGATTAATTTATTATCATATGGATATCCTAAAATCAACTTGTCTATCTTTGGTCTTGGTTTAGGGTTCAACTTCTTTTTTTTCAAAACGGGTTTTCAAACTTTGAATAAGTTTGTCGAGTCCACCTCAGATACACAAATCATGGGGTTTTTAAAGGAACAATCAACAAAATCATTTAATACGTACAAATGCTTTTGTCTATTTTAAGGGAAAACATTACCAAAAACGTGTTTGATCATTTGGATATTCATATACTTTCTAGAAACATGTCAAAGATTAGTTTCTCAATTTACTTTGAGGAAAAACAAACAAAACAATCTCTCAAAGGGGTGTTGTTTGTGAAACTAAATTCATAATTCCTGTATCATTTCCATAATTTCACAATCAATGGCTCGTTTGGTGTCTAGAATTGAATTAGATTATTAACTAATCAATCTAACAAACGGACCCTTACTAACAATTTATTAAAAACTCGGCATTAGATATTTTTCTTAGCCTAATTTATCAGATTGTGCCAAAAAAAAGAAGAAACGATTCACATGCTAAATGTGAATTAGAACTTTCTATTATTATATAAACACACAATCTACTGCCCAAATATGTAGAGACAACTGTAGATTTAGTATCAAGGAGTGGGCCCCACCAAATTGTTGTGAGGCCATTCATCAACCATTGGCATTATCCATGGTTGGACTCTCATGTATGTAATGCATGTTCAAATTTTGAGCATAGTAGCATAAGGTAGTAGCATTTCACATACTTTTTGTGACTCATTTTAATTTTTAATCCCTCCTCTAATGAAGTTGTTATCAGGGCCGTCCCTGAGATTTTGAGGGCCCTGAACGAAACTTAAATTGGGGCCTCACATAATCTAATATGAAAATACTATAAAAATTTGCCATAACTTAATGTCATAAATAATTTTTTTATAACAAAAGTCACCATCAATAAATATGTAATGACAATAAAAAATCAAATTCATAAAATTTTAAATGTTTCCGTTTGATAAAGTTAAATGTTTGGTACAAAAATAAGCTCATTGTGCCCCTATGAGGTCCCTTACTGCCTCCAATAAGCAATCTGTGTTTAATAGGAAAAAAACTGGCAATCACAAATTAAAGAATAGTTGCACACAAATGTCATTAACAAATTAGATTATATTGCTTAAACACAAAAGCAACAACAAAAACATACTTGAATATCCAAAAATCATTCACATTGTATTTACTGTCCTTATTTAAAGAATTAAAACTATTACAAGAGCTTTTTCCCCAAAAGAAAAAAAAACACAGCCAGTACAATACTAATGTCTGAAAATTGATCTTCTCGTTGTTGTTCACTAAAAATATTTTCATCAATTGTTGCATGTGATTCTTTAACAATGAATCTATCAAGAACTCCTCTTTGAGATTGAGTCAATTCCTCGATTTTTCTTTTTCTAAGCTATTTTGTATACCCATAAACGTATTTTCTAGTAGGTGACATGTTTAGATTACAAAGAAAAATTACAAAACCCAATAAACTGGAAGAAAACCCGAGCAAGAAATAGATAAATACGTGTACAAGCTATATTCTCATATAACCAATCATCAACATGATAATAATTTAATAAAATAGGTCATTTAATATATAGAATAGATTGAAATTTAGATACATACCTGAATTTGAATTGAGATTTGAATATGACTATTTGATTTTGAGTGGTCTTTATGAATTTATGAATTTAGGAATTAGGAATTTCTTTTTTTGGTGTTGAAATTCCTGAAAAATTAAAAGAATAACAAAAATTGTCAAAGGATTGAAAGAACCAAAAGAGATTGATGAATGATGATGACAACTTACCAGAAAATCAGAGTTTAAGAAAAAAAAGAAGCCACAAAGTTTTGTTTTGAATAAAGAAAGTACTTTTCTTGGAGAAGAAAACTTTTTTTTATGAAATTTTTAAGAACGATAGTTTGGGGGATATATATACTCCTCATGCCTTGTGTTAAGCTTCGAAGTTTCCCGTTTTTTAAAGGCTTTTTGTTTTTATTTTATTTTATTATAATTATGTAAAGTTTGATTGCAAAAATAATATAAAAAAAACGCATAGAGATCGATCTCAACGTGAGTCAAATTTTGGCCATGTTGTTAAATGAGTAAGCACTCCAGCCAACTCCCCCAAACACGCCGTTGTGCAATACATTGCACGCTATACTATATATACAATTCCTCTAATATTATATATATATAATATAAAGATTTTTTTTTGGAGGCCCTATGCGGTGACACCACTTGCACCACCCAAGGGCCGGCCCCTGGTTGTTATTGTACTGTTATTTCAAGTCAATTATTATTGATATGTAAGAAAGTCAAAACGTATGGTGATGTATGTGACGTTATTATTCATATATCTTAAATTAATCATATATTAACATAGAAGAATACGTGATTAAATTGAAATACCACCGTCTCGTCCTTGTATAGATTAATTTTTCTCGTATAGCTAAATCCGCCTGAACGACAGAGGCTAGAGATAAGGCCCCTGCTAACCCCTCCTTGTCCCTACAAAAAACACAAACACATTTACATCACACACCACCCACCCCCCTATCCCATCACCCAAAAATTTTCCCCATCTCACATGTCATGTCAAGGTCATGTCACGTATATGCAATGCAATGCAAGAAATATAGAGCTGCTGCGAGTATATTTGTGCCTGCATTCTCTGCATTTTTCTGCATACAAAATCCATGTATATTAATTCATTTAATTATTACATGAGATACAGTAGGATCTATTCTCTATCTCTATAGCACTGTGATGATGATGACGTAGCCTCCTAGTAAACAGTTTAAAAAAGAAAAAGTAATAATTATTTAAAACAGAAATTAAATAAAAAAATAAAAAAAATAGAAAATGATATTGGTTTTGTTGCTGGTGTGCAAGTGTAATAATCTTTTTCTTTTTGGGTAAAGCTTTGAAATCGAGACGCATGCAAAAACCTAATGATGGTGTCCTCTGCCCTCCTCCCCAGTCTCCCATGCCCCCCTTTCTTTCTTTCTTCCTTTCTTTCCCCCTTTACTATTTCAAAAGCTTTTCTCATTTTTTTTGCTTCTGTTCTGATGCGCGCATTATCTCCCTTCAATGCCCCTTCTGCCTGGTCCTGCAGGCTGCTGCTGCACTGCAAAATATCCCTCTGACCGCCTATGCTTCCCAAATTTTCGACTTTTTCATGCCCTCCAATTTTCTTTGACCAATTTGCCATCATTCCATTATCCATTAATAGTGCCCACCTCTTCCTCCATCAACCCTTCTCCTTCAATAAGGAAGATCCTAAAAAATCTTTCTTTGCTGGCCATCAGACCATTCAATTAAAACTAAAACTGGTGTCTTCAACTTAGTCTAAAAACATTTCCCTTTCACGTTTGCATAGTACTAGTGTATGTCACAGTAACGTTAAAATAGATCGAAAACAATGATAAATTCTAAATTCTAAATTCAAATGGAAAATCAAAAGGTAATAGCGATTTGTTCGTATACAACGATCTTCTTACAATAACTGATCACGTAAATGACATGTAAAGAAATAATTGTGAGAACAACGTTTGTACACATATGTTGGTTGGAAGTACTTATCCTAGTTGTATCACGATTGACACACTCTGATGCATATTTACTGTGTTGGTCTGAAAATTCAAAGGCATTGAGTTGAAGGAGGGTAATCATGCAAATTCAGTGGGGACTGGAGGCAGATATTGTCTTTCTGAAACTAGATCAAGGACATTTTGGTCATTTGAATAGTATGAAAGAAAAACAGAACAAAAAATATTCAAAGGTAAAGTTTTTGCTCCATTTCCCTACACACAGTGGAGCGAAGAAGACCCTCTCTCTGAGCCGAAAGTGACGAACCAATGAAAAACAACAACACCAACAACAAAACCGTATGAGTACCAAAGCAAAAACAAGAAAAGCAAACCAAAAACACTGAGCAAAAGCATAAAAAAAAAATATTTACTGCTTTGCTTTCCCTTTTCTTCTTCTTCTTCTTCATCCAGCTCAAAGTCTTCACCTTTCAGCTTCCAAAACTCAAACCACACACGCATCAACCATGCTGCTCCCAACCCATTAGACCCCAGAAGATGTCTGGGAGATTAGATATGGAAACCATCGAGATCGGTGAGACGGTGACGTTTCCTCTGGTTCTTAGGCCGTAGTAGAGAGATCGCTTTGTCCCAGCTGGGGAAGAAGACTCGTTCCACTAACTGAGTCAATTTAGTAACTCGTGTTTCGTTTCAATCGTTTTCGTTTTGGTTTTGGTTTTGGGAATCAGATCGGTTGTGTTTGCTGATCTCGAAGGATTTGTATAGCTTCTTTGTGTTTGGTGCTGTCTCTTTGGGTTTAAAGAAAACGAGGACAACTCCGTTCCAGCTAAGGATATTGCTGTTCCTTGTCGGTTTTATCTCCATACTCGAAAAAGATATTTGTTTTTGAATATTTAGGCATCAAGGTCTGCAAGTTTGTACATTTGGGTAGAGACCCAGTTGCCATTCTGGTCTGTTTTGGTGCTCTGAAGCTTTGAAAGGTGCTTGAAGCTGTGGTTTCAGCAAGAGAAGCCATCTGGGTTTGGTGTATTTTTTGTGGGTAGCAAGTGATTTTGAGCTGAACATTGGAAATGGCTATGTCCTGCAAGGATGGTAAGGGAGGATTAGATAATGGCAAGTATGTGAGGTACACACCTGAGCAGGTTGAGGCCCTTGAAAGGCTCTATCATGAATGCCCCAAACCCAGTTCGATTCGTCGCCAACAGCTTATTAGGGAGTGCCCAATTCTCTCTAACATCGAGCCCAAACAAATTAAGGTTTGGTTCCAGAATAGAAGGTATGGTTGGTAGCCAATCTTTTTACTTTTGGGTTTTCTGCTCTGTTTTGTTGGTTGCTTAGAGAAGGTTAGGAAAGAAAATCTCGAATTTATGGCTTAGATCTTGTAAAGTTTGATTCTTTGAGCAGAATGCAAGTGTATGGGTTCGTTGTGATGAATATAATCAGTTACAAATTACATTTAAATTCTGAATTTTGAGTGGAAATATGTCCTTAGTTAGCATACAGTATATTCAGTTGCATGGGGCTTGATTTCCTTATTTGTGCTAAATTCTTTATCAGAAAATCTTAATTACGTTGCATATATTTCAGTTCTTGGGCAACCCTTCAATGACAATGCATTGTCTGTTTCTGCTTTGTTGGTTCAGATGTAGAGAGAAGCAGCGGAAAGAGGCTTCGCGTCTCCAAGCTGTCAATAGGAAGCTCACCGCTATGAATAAGCTTTTAATGGAGGAAAATGATAGGTTGCAGAAGCAGGTGTCTCATCTGGTGTATGAAAATGGTTATTTCCGTCAGCATACCCAGGGGGTGAGAGTTCTAATCCTTTTGTGTATTTTCCCTCATATGGAATCTTAGAATAAGCTAAAATCATTAGCCAGAAAAAAATTTCGAATATAAGATTTTTTGAAGAACAATTATTCAGGTACATAATATACCTAGAATGAATGTCTTGAATTATTGATTTTTATAATTTCTGAGTAATCTGGAAATTGACATAAGTGGTTGTTTTCTTACAGACAACGCTTGCAACCAAAGACACGAGTTGTGAATCAGTGGTGACGAGTGGTCAACACCATTTGACACCTCAGCATCCGCCAAGGGATGCAAGTCCTGCAGGGTTAGTGGGATGTAGTTGTTATGTCCTTTTCATTCATCGTGCTTTGTGACACCCTTGTTGTTTGTGTGTGTGGCTTATGGGTTCATGCTTTGTTTGTTTTCTAGACTTTTGTCCATTGCAGAAGAAACTTTAGCAGAGTTTCTTTCAAAGGCTACTGGAACTGCTGTTGAGTGGGTCCAAATGCCTGGAATGAAGGTATATCTCTAATTTTTTAAAATTAATCATTCTTATTCAATAAGTGAGTTGGAAATGCCAAAAAAATGGAACAATGGGAAACGGGAGTTATAATTCCAAATATAAACATTTAAGTGATCAGGGCATTTAAGCCCAATTTGGAGCCGTACCTCTTCTCTGAAGGAGAAAGTGTGACAATAACATCATGTGGCATGCTGATGTGGTCTTACATGTCCACACTGTTATTTGTGTGGATTTATAACGCCATGTCTGCATGACACGTAGGACCGTCACACCATAATTTTTCCTCCGAAGAGGAAATAAGTCCTACATTCCCAGATGATGCAACTGATCCATTGTAAAACTGGAAACAACACGTTTTGATTATTGGTATTTGTTGCACTCTTAAATGCCATTTATTTAGCATGACTTAATTGATATTATTTTTTTGGGTTTTCTCGGAATATAGTAGGGTACAGTCTTCTATTTGTATATTGTATTTTGAAAGGGGATTTCTGCCTTTGAAATTTGTTTCATCCTTTCACCTCTTTTTGATATTTTCAGCCTGGTCCGGATTCCATTGGAATCGTTGCTATTTCTCATGGTTGCACTGGAGTGGCAGCACGAGCTTGCGGCCTGGTGGGTCTAGAGCCTACCAGGGTAAGTAAATATGATCCTTTGCATCTATTTTCTTCTTCTTGGGGCTTATGATTGACTAATGATTATATTCTGTTTAGGTTGCAGAGATCCTCAAAGATCTCCCTTCGTGGCTGCGTGATTGCCGCGCTGTAGATGTTTTGAATGTCCTGCCTACAGCAAACGGTGGAACCATTGAGTTGCTCTACATGCAGGTAGGTTCTACTTGTCATATAAGTTATTGCATTCTTCTACCCCTTTTTTGGGGGGTATTAATTTCTTAATTTTTCTGATGTAGCTCTATGCGCCGACAACTTTGGCGCCTGCGTGTGATTTCTGGCTGTTGCGCTATACTTCTGTTTTAGAGGATGGCAGCCTTGTGGTATGTAGAATTATGAATCATCTTACCAAATAACTATCATTTTGATTGAGCATTTAATACCTTGCGAAGCACACAAGTAAACACATGCTTATATATCTTCACTTACCAGTATACCTCAAGTTCTCATCATGTGTCTAATCCTCAGATTTGTGTGAGGTCTCTGAAAAACACTCAAAATGGTCCAACCATGCCTCCAGTGCAGCATTTTGTTAGAGCAGAAATGCTGCCTAGTGGCTACCTCATACGACCCTGTGAAGGGGGTGGTTCAATTATACATATCGTTGACCATATGGATTTGGAGGTAAGTAAGTTATTCATTAAGTATAATGGGATGATATTCTTCATTTACTTTAGTAGTGATATATCCATTAAAAGAATTATAGCTCTTACACGTGTTTCATCAACTAGCCTTGTAGCGTACCAGAAGTCTTGCGCCCATTGTATGAATCATCTGCTGTTCTTGCTCAAAAGATGACAATGGCGGTAAGATTACCATATGGTTGTAGATAGTTTTGACTTTATTGTTTTTAGGGTTAAGTCATGTATAATCATCCAGATGGATACTCATCTGTATGACAAGAATGCTACGATGAAGGGTAAAGGGGAGATGTTAAGTTTTTAATTAGTTTTCTGACTTTCATTCAGGCTTTACGCCAGCTGAGGCAGATAGCACATGAGGTTTCTCAATCTAATGTCACAGGGTGGGGCAGACGTCCTGCAGCTCTACGAGCACTAAGCCAGAGGCTTAGTAGGTTAGTATATTATCTTTGTTTCAGTAATCTCTGTCAGTCAGTGAAGGGATCTTTCCTAATTGAAAGCTAATGGAGTTTTCTGCCAGGGGTTTTAATGAGGCACTTAATGGATTTACTGATGAGGGGTGGTCAATGATGGGAAATGATGGCATGGATGATGTTACTATCCTCATAAACTCATCTCCTGACAAGTTAATGGGTTTAAATCTTTCCTTTGCTAATGGATTTCCAGCTGTCAGTAATTCTGTATTATGTGCTAAAGCATCAATGCTGCTACAGGTCAGGATGCTTACCATCTCTCATTTCAATCACCCTTGACAAACAACTGGAAATTAAAATTGACACACTAGCTAAGTTATGCCATGCATGTTATTTGCATTATGTAAATGCGGGTGGACAATGACTTTGAAAAATTTCACGGTGAGCTTACCTTCTAACCTTTTCCTTGTTTGTCATGTACTTTTTTTATTTTTCCAGAATGTGCCTCCTGCTATCCTTCTTAGGTTTCTGCGCGAGCATAGATCAGAATGGGCAGACAACAATATTGATGCTTACTCAGCTGCAGCTGTTAAAGTTGGCCCTTGTAGCTTAGCTGGGTCACGAGTTGGAAGTTTCGGAGGTCAAGTTATACTCCCCCTGGCTCACACTATTGAACATGAAGAGGTAAGCAAGTTGATAGTAAGGAATTTACAGCTTTTAAAAATGTCTTCTTTTACAGTGGTTTATACACCAGTCCAATAAGAAAACACTACTTTTCTTTCTTTAATTTATATGTTTTTGTGCTTTTCAGTTCTTGGAAGTCATTAAACTGGAAGGTGTTGGCCATTCTCCTGAAGATGCAATGATGCCAAGAGAAATGTTTCTCTTGCAAGTACGTATCCGTTCTGCCTGTGTTAATGATGGTTCTTATTTATGAGAGTGTTTGTCTTGGGTTAGTGTTTTCGTGCCGGTCTCATAGCTTAGCTTGGACTGTCAAAGCCACATCAGACAAACTAATTCGTAACCTGAATTTTTTTTGGGTAACTTAACCTGAATTGATTTCCTGCAAATCATAGGCATTTCATGTTTTAGCTCAAGCTCGTAACCTGTTAAGCGCAAATTTGGAGTGCTCAGCATCATGCTAATTCAAATTAGAGTTCAGCATCATGTTTCTTGTTTACGATTTGTTTTTATACCTTTATTTTTGCTCTAAAATATATGTGACGCGTTTCAAGATATCCTGTGAATATGTGGTCAAGTTTTTTGTGAAATAAAAGGCCTAAGAGTATGAGATATTGTGTTGTGAAATTACTAAGTGGATAACAGAAAACATGGAGAGACAAGTGATATGGATAAGAGATACAATATCGTGTTCCTATTCAATTTTTTTCCCAATCTTCAATTTAGTTGTTTTTTTGTCTAATGAAATTTGTTCTCTCACTTAAATTCCATGTCTGGTTTTTTAATAGCTATGCAGTGGAATGGACGAAAATGCTGTGGGTTCCTGTGCTGAACTCATATTTGCTCCGATTGATGCTTCCTTTGCTGATGATGCACCTCTTCTGCCTTCTGGTTTTCGCATCATTCCTCTCGATTATGGGAAGGTTAGCCTCTGAACTGTATCTAAATTGATATTATCTGTCACAATCCATATGTCACTAGTTTTTCAATGGAAATTCTTATTAGCTAGTGCTCTGGAAAATGTTTCAGGAAGCCTCCAGTCCAAACCGCACCTTGGACCTTGCTTCTGCTCTTGAAATTGGACCAACTGGAAATAAAGCATCGAGTGAATTTTCTGCAAATACTGGTTGTGTGAGATCTGTGATGACTATAGCATTTGAATTTGCATGCGAGAGCCACATGCAAGAACATGTAGCATCCATGGCCCGGCAATATGTTCGCAGCATCATATCTTCAGTTCAGAGGGTGGCATTAGCACTATCTCCTTCACATTTAAGTTCACATGCTGGTCTTCGGTCACCACTTGGTACTCCTGAAGCCCAAACACTTGCTCGTTGGATCTGCAACAGTTACAGGTGTTGTATACCTCTCTCTCTCTCTCTCTCTCCCCCCTACGTTTTTTAGGTTGGGTTGAGGGGGGAAGGGATTATATTAATGTTGATTGAGACATGTCAAAATGTTGCCTGAGATACATGGAGCACTGTGGGACAATTGAAAATGAGTTTTTGGCTACACACTCGTGCCATATTGCTACATATTATTTCTTCAGTTGCAATGCCAAAAGTGTTTCAATCATAAAGTTTGATTAATGAGGCCATCTCATAATATAGGTCAATTTCTTAGCCATCTCATAATATGCTAATACTATTGATATTGCAGGTGCTATTTGGGTGTGGAGCTGCTCAAATCCTCCAATGAAGGAGGTGAATCTATCCTCAAATCCTTGTGGCATCACTCAGATGCAATTATGTGCTGCTCTCTGAAGGTGAGCATATAACATTTACGACCCGAAAAAGCACCAATACAACACTTTGCTTTCCTCTCATACCTACTTATTTGAAGCAATTTAATATTGAACTCCATTTATGCAGGCATTGCCAGTTTTTACCTTTGCAAACCAGGCAGGGCTCGACATGCTAGAGACCACCTTGGTTGCACTGCAAGACATAACTCTGGAAAAGATATTTGATGACCATGGACGGAAGACTCTCTGCTCAGAATTCCCGCAAATAATGCAACAGGTCTAGTTGATCCTTTCCGAATTCTTTAGTTTTTCCAATTTCATTTTAAACTAACGTGCAAAAGGAGAGCTAGTTTAATTGCAGAGTTGTGAAAGGTCTCCGTGTAAAGAATTGCTAAACACAATTCACTCAATGGAGTTGTAAGCTTTGATTTTGATATGTCTGTTCTATAATTTTGTAGGGTTTTGCTTGCCTTCAAGGTGGCATATGCCTTTCCAGCATGGGGCGACCGGTGTCGTATGAGAGAGCAGTGGCTTGGAAAGTGTTGAATGAAGAGGAGACAGCTCACTGCATGTGTTTTCTATTTGTAAACTGGTCTTTCGTCTGATATCGGGGACCAGGTCACTAAGACTAGGGGGGTTATAATAGGGTTGAATAGAGGAGACTTGGAAACCTTTTATGCTTAAACTCTCTTATCTATGTTTTGCTGTGATAAATACTATGGATGTTAAGACTGATATTGTGTTAGCTTGTTCTTGCTGTACTCTTTAAATGCCTTGTTTCTATGCCTTTGTTTTCCAGTTTTTATCTTTTTCGGGTGGTTTCGGATGAAAAGATTGCATGGCAAAACAAAACTACGTTGGAGACCCCTAATTGCACCGAAATCATTTATTTATGAGGATCGGATATCATGAGTTCTCTCCTATAAAAAGCATCTTGAGTTCCATTAGTCTATAATGTATGTTGGATTTGAAGTGTTTGCTGGTTTAAAATGTTTATCAGAAATTGTAAGAATGTTTAAACATAATAAAGTTTAAGGTATATCATTTAAAAAATACATTGCTTGTCTAAACTATTCTGTAGCACAAGTTACTCTGGTGCTTTTTAAGCATTTCCCTTTATGTTGGAAAAAGGAGTTGCACTTGCACATGCAACTGATCAATGAAACACCTCACATACAAAACCAGCTTGAAGCAATGGGATTAAGACGCTGCACTATAGAACTCCACCTTTTTTTGGTAGAATCAAGCTCTAAAACTCAACCGTTCTTTTTTCTTTCTCACCTTTGTTTCCATCTTTCTCATATGGGAAGGGTTCGAATTCTAAAGTCATTTTCTTCTTCTATGAAGGTCAACATTCACTGAATCGTCGCCACTCTGATTAAGCTTCCGAGGAAGTCATTTCAGCTCAGTTAATTAGTTTGTTTGGGGAAAGCGGAATTAGGATTGGGCAGAAAGGAAGAAAGTTGAATTAGGGTTGTTTATTTTACCTACTCTTTTGGCAGTGCATGTGAGAAAACCAACCGAGTCTCATTTTCAAAATCACATGACACTTTGATAGTGTGTGTGAGAAACGCCCCCTTCTCCCTTCCTAACTTTGACAACAACTAAAAAATTGCTTTAAATTCGTTTTGTTTTTTGTTTTTTGTTTTTGCAAAGCGCTTTAAATTAGTTAGGTGAGTGCGTTTCTACCTGAATTAATTTGATTGCTTTGCCAGGATTGAGTTCACAACATTATTGCTTCTAGTTTCATCGACTAGAGAGGAAATATATAACAAACAACACTATTATTAAAATACATGATTTCGATACATATAGCCTGATGGAAAATTACATAGAGAGGCTTGAGGTAGGAGTCAAAGTGAGGATCCATATCATAGGAGCTCTTCACAGAAACTTACAACTAAGCCTTCTCAAGTCAGACAAATAGCTACGATGCACATGAGCAAGGGGACTAAAGAGGAAAAGAGAAAGGAAATAAAAAACGAAACCCTTAGGATGAAAGGGCAATGAAGGAGCATTTGTTTAACCCTATAAACCACATATATAGGGTGACAGTTTGTGCTGGTTCAACACGTTAACATAATAAGTAGGAAACACAAAAGAAAAAGAAGGGGTGGAGGAGAGAATCAAGTAGACATTGAAAAAAACCCTAGAGTACATAAACAGGGATAGCTAGGAGAGTTTGGCCTAACCCGAAAAACCCAGAAGGAAAAAGGTCGATCCATCACCTGTGCATAGAGTAATTTTACTGTGAATCAATAAGACCATTAGAAGAGAAACCCTAAGAGGGATTTAAGAAGGTTAATTTATAGAGTGGGAGCTAGTTATACTAGTAAATAATCAGCATAGAAAAAGGGGAGAGGTTGACAAATACAAAACCATGCCCCCTAGAGATCATGATCAGATAGATGTATGGCAACTAGCCTTTTAATTAATTATAGCAGTTCTTCAAGCCATGGAGAGATCATTCATTTCCCTCGTAATCGCCGGAATGCAACTCGAACTCCGAGTAATCCCTCCCTTTCCCTTTGCCCCTCCTTTGTCCCTCGGGCTAATCGACTTGGCCCTCATACCTCTCCCTTCCATTTTGCTCTTCTTCAACATCTCCCTCATGGCCTCAGCTTGAAACAAAACTGGATAAGGCCTACTGTACTTGTTAAACCTAACACATGCACTTATATGTGTATTCAAGGCCTCTTCTTTATCTCCTCCATTTTTCTCCAACTCCTCTTTCACTGCTTCAGTGCATAACCCGCATATCCACTTCCCCAAGAATTTATCTCTCACTCGATCTATGTACTCCGGCGTGCATTCTTCGCTCATGCCACAACACTCACACTTCGCATCTTCAACCTCTGAAATTGGTGGGAGGGATTTCAAATCTTGATCAACAGCTTCTTTGCTTAGCTCATATGAGATATCGGATACAGTTCTTTTAAGGCTATCGGATGAGAATGAGAGCCTTGGTGGCTTGGACTTGGAGAAGTTGTTGGTCCTAGAGTAGTTAGAGCCAACAATAGTCTCTCCATTAGGTGCCATGTTAGAAAATTTTGATGCCAACCCTAACGTAGGAGTCAAGCTAAGTGGATTGAGTGATCTTGAATTTGGCAGTGGGAAGTTAATTTGGCCAAAGAACTTAGACGATTGTCACATGTTGGTAGAGAAGGAGGTCTAGTAGCCTATTTATAGTAGTCAGTTTGGTCATTACTGGGAATCTAAAGCCATTGTTATTTTTATGGATCTTGTTAATTCATATGTCACTTATCAATCTAAGTGTGAATAGTTCTCGTGACGATGCTAGATTTTTCAAGAAAGTTTTGAAAGAAAAGGAAAGCTGTTTTTGCTTTTCTAGGTCTGAAATAAATGCCGAGCTGAAATTTGCTAAAGAACTTTTTATGGGTTTCAAATTTTTTTTTCCTCTGCTCTTGATCATGTGGAGGAGGATGTTTTGGCTTCATAAAAAGATCGCATATTCGTTTTTCTTTTGAAGAATAAAACATAAAGAAGCTGTGGCACATCCCATACCAAGACTCTATGCTTGGTTAATATGGATACTGAAAGTCTCAATTAAGATCAAAAGCTTAATTTAATCAGCAGGGAATGCCATAGGAAATCTATTTTCATTGGAGTATTAGTTTTTACGGTCACACCACCAAGTGATGTTACCAATTCACTTATGTTATAATCTACGTAGTTATTTATCAATTATACTCTAAGACTGGCACACTTAAAAGTCTCGAGAAAAGAATGTTAGTTTCAATATTTATTCATGTAGAGACTAGTTGTATCCATGAACGTGAAAGCTTGTACAATAGTTTAGCCAAACAAAGTGTAAAAAAGAATCAATTGATTTTAGATCACCGTTTATAAAATGATGACTTCCATAATTTAACGTTACATGTTATTTGTCTGAAAAAGAAGAAGTAAGATGTCGCTTTACATGAAGTGACTAAAGGAAGGAAAATGTAACTTTGTAGCTTGAAAACAATTGTGTTTTGCTTTCAACAATAATTAATTTGTCCCTATAAAAGGTCACAAGTTGCAGATTCACGTGTGCTCCTACTCAAACCATTAACCATATATACAGCGATCGTGGTCCAAACTCTCTCTATTAGCACCTAGCCCAAAATGAAAGAAAAGGACTACCTGCCTCACATGTTGCCTCTCTCTCTCTCTCTCCCTCTCTCCACAACCACAACTCTTACTTCACGAGCAGTTTTAAGTCAATCATACCATATACATACATACATGAACTCTTATATCTGTGTGTGTGGAGGAGAGAGAGAGAGAGAGAGGTTGGTGAGGCTATGGTATGACAAAAGGCTAATTTATTAATCGGAGGAAAAAGCAGTCATTGTAACTCACATTTATCTTGTACGAAAAAGGGTGCTTTAAATCTGTGGATTTCATTGACAGACGACAATAATTAAGAAATTAGTTTCTCTGTTTGGTCTTAATATTGTTTAGTTTTGATTTTCTTGGCTGTTATCAATCTAAGAGTTCTACGGTTCAATGTTAAACTCAAATATAAAAGATAACGGATGAACTTGTAATGTTTTTCTTTTTAGTCACGACTCACGATGGTATTTAAAATTTGAACTCAAAATCTACTTCAATAAAAAATAAAGGAAAATAGAGTGCCGTTAAACTAGATGATCATTTGATGACAGATTTGTTATCCAAGGCTCATGAAAAGCGAAATAATGTTAAAACAAGTAGAAGAAAAGCTGAATTCTGGCTGCATAAAAACCTCCAGCTGAGTAGGCTGGGGGACACAATCATCATGTGATTCACTATGCGTGCATACAATAAATTTTTTGGAAGCTGATTTTCCTCTCCCTTTTTCTCACTTACGCTCTCTTTTACTTTTTAATATTTTTTAATTAATTTTGTTATTTCTCTTTCCTATTCAACTCTTACCCTACAATTCTCTTTAATAAACATGTACAATCACTTACTAATATTATGAAAGAATAAAAATATGAGACTATTATGCATACCTTGCTCTCTGTATATCTAAGCTTCTAATGGCAATTTGGTTAGTAGCATTCTTTCGTTCTTCTACCATATTTATATGTTAGCCTAAAAAATTTATTATCTATTATTAAATACAACAAAGATATATAATACCCACATTTCTATCCATTTTCCAGATTTATTTTTGTTTTTTGTTTTATTTTCTGTTAACCTTTCTTAACTTCAATTATCAAAACCTTAATGTACATTAACGAGTTATACCACATGACCGTTTTCTAGAGCCATACAATAATTTATCGTCCTCCTAGTAGGGTGAATTTTGGGCCACGAACCAATGCTATTCCTTTCCCAACTGTATTGCCAAGAACCCGATTAGCATCCAATTTCCAAACCCAAATGGCATCAGATGGCGAGAGGCCCAAAAAGAGTGGTGAACTTTAATGGAGTAATGAGACCTAACAAACTTTTGGCCCGGCCCACTTTACGGGCCTAGAATGAGGATTATAGTTGGGTGTTCATAGCAAACGTTGGGGTCTCTTTATAACTTTCCATTGAGAAGCAAGCTTTGTTTGGGCTGGAACAAGGAACCTAGTTTTCCTACGTTTAAAATGCAAGTTAATTATTTTTGCACTCCTAATTAAAAAGTTACATAATATAATGTAAAACCCATGATTTTTTATATGATAAAATTATAATTAACCTCGAAGTTCAATACTAACACTAAACTAAACTAACTATACCAACCAACTAATTATTAGTTTAGTGGTAATTCTATTCTCAATATTGAAAGATATCTCAAGTTCGAATCACCTATTTCTCAAGTATATAGAAGTTCTATATACACACATGCAAATTATATATTTACTAAATGAGATTATATTTTCTTCTTAATATTGAAAGTTATCCCAAATTCAAATCTCCCTCTCCGTCTTTTTTTATATTTTTTCTAAACGTTTGTACATACATATGAAACTGTGTACGGATTGATCATTTAAAAAAATATGTGAAATTAAATAAAACTAACAAAGTAACGCCAAAATGTGCATAGATACATCCCTAAGAAAAGTAGCACTAAAAATCTATGCAACCGAAAAAGCAACACAAGAAATCAGTACATCCACTCCACAACAAAGTCATTCTAGCTAGTGCACATTTGAAATACAAACCCTACTTTTCAGACCATAAAACAAATAATAATAATAAAATTCCGAATAAGAAATCATACAAACCCAACTCTCTTCTCTTCTCTTCCCCCACCTCCGTATCCACCCTTTAAATACCCCCTCCGTCCCTTCTTTTAGAACTCGTACCCAACAACTCTCTCCAATAATATCTCTCTCTCTCTCTCTCTCTTTCCCCCAAACATTTAAGAAAATAGAATTAAAGCCTTGAAAATGGAACAAAATAATCTACCGGTAATGGCCAAGAAAATATGGAGCTTAGTACGTGTAGCTTTCTTCATGTTAAGAAAGGGCATTTCAAAGCGAAAGCTCCTCCTCGACCTCAACATGATGATGAAGCGTGGCAAGCTCGCCAGCAAAGCCCTCAGCAACCTCATGTTCCACCACCACCATAGCCAAAGCCACTCCCACCACTGCAGCGCAGCCTCCTCCGCCGCTCCTCGGGAGTACGAGTTCAGCTGCAGCAACACCCCCAACTACACGTTCCACCTCATGGGCAAGCGCCGCCACCAGAGCCACCACCACAACTTCTTCGCGTGTGCTCACGCGCCGCCCACTCAGGATGACGAGGTGGCTGCCGCTGGCGCCGTGAAGGCGGTGCTGGAGATGTTGAATAACGAAGTGATGGCTACGGAGGCGGCCACTTCGGTGGCAGCATCACCGCTTCCCGGGTTCGGGAAGAGCCCCATGGTCCGCCAGCTGAGGATAACGGACTCTCCGTTTCCTTTGAGGGAGGCGGACGAGGACAGCCACGTGGACAAAGCGGCGGAGGAGTTTATAGAGAAGTTCTACAAGAATTTGTGGCAGCAGAATAGAATGCAGGACTGATCAGTTTGGGGTCATGCATATAATTATCCGTTGAAGATATTTATGTGATGCGCAGCGCAGTTTATGTTTAATATGAGTCATTTGAGTCCGCCTCGCCTATATTGTTGTTGTTGTTGTTGTTGTTGGTTGATTGATAAACAATAAAATTAAGAGAATTAGCTTAGCTTAATTAATTTGTGTCAACCTGCAGTTGTTTTTCTTAATTTCAATTTCAAGTCCTTAATTGATTTCTATGTTCTTGAAAACACTGCATTATCAAAACCAAAACAGAAGTTGGTCAATCCAAATTTTCAGGCTTTTAGCCTCATGGGTTTTCTATTTCTTTTATTAATATTAACTTTGCAATTGAGGTTTTTTTTTAAAATTTTTTATAATTAAAAAAAAACATAAACAGATTCCCGGTATATATATTTGGAATTAAAAATTACAAAAACAAAGATACAGTATATTCATGATCATCTCTCAAGGTACCAGTTCGTACAGCAAAGCTTGCAGGAACCCTGGGGAGAAAGTTTTAGTTTGTTTAATCTTATTTCTTAATTTTTCACTTTAAATTTCCTACCTATTGAAAATCAAATTAATGCATGCATGCATAATATTCTAATTTCCTGCATAATATATATATAATTTCTTATGGGGTTTGTAATTTCAAAGCCAGGTTGGAAAGTCTGAACACTGCTAATCATTTGAACCTTAGTTTGCAAGTCATACTCATATGCACGCGCTCCAATTTACAAGGACCAGTTTGGGGCCATCAGGGAGAGGGAGAGAGAGAGAGTTGATTATGCTATAAATTAAATTAAATTAGATGAAAATTCAAAAGCTGAGAGTGGCTTTTACAGCTACAGTACCACGTCCACTACATCCTGATGTGATTCCACTATGTTAAAGCGAAAACCAATATAGTACTAGCAAAACGCTGGCCCCTCCTCCCCCTAAAAAAATTAGTCACCTTTTTATTTATTTATATACTTTTTCTTTTCTCTCTCTTTTTTCCTTTGTTTTTATCAAGTTTTATAAGAAAACTAGCTGCTTTTTTGAAGATTGTATACATAGTCATACACTCAAATTACAAGTGAAAAGAAACACAGCACTATATATTGATCTGAGGGTTTCGTAAAGAAGATACGTCTTTACCAGACAGCTAGGACCTGCTATGAAGCCGCTGATAATGACCACACCAACAGAGAAAAAGTTCAAAACATGGGTGAAATTCCAAAAATAAATCCTGTTCCAGCACATTTCATTGTGCGTAGGTGCATCAAACTTGTCAATGATTGATTTGTTTAGTAACCCAGTAATTATAAAATTAAGAAGATTGTGTCAGTTTTAATTCAGATTTAAATTCTAAAACAAGGTTAACTTTGGATGTTAGTTTGACACAGATGGATTAGGTACACATGACAGAGAGATTAATGAACTCTATGGGTTGCCCTCTAATGGTTATAGTATTTAGCGTCGTATAGATTTAGAACCTACCATTTCCCCTACCTCGCCTAATGTCACTTGATCTACTCAGGGGCACATCTCAAAGGGTTATTTTTTTATTATAGCTAGGTTCAAAACCTTTGAATTTTTTTTTAAAAGACAAAGGAATGTCGTATCAAAGCTTTATTTATTTCTCTTTAATATAAGCTCTAAATTTTTTTAAAAAAATACAAGCGATTGTCTAAACTACAAGAGGGATGGAAGTTCGAATATAAGATCATTGGTTTGCAAATTAAAGCGCTTTCCCACTGGGCTGGACCCAACTGGCATAAGCCCTAAACCTTACAATCTTAAAAACTATGTCTCCAGCGATCCCATATATTAAAGAGATGGGCATGCATTATTGTCTTGAAGAATCTCACATAGAACCAAAGTTACCACTCCAATCCAAAGCTTTGAGCCGACAAAAGGCCAATGCAAACAATAGTATAATTAATTTGTGGTTAACTCCAAAAATTAATGTTCATGTCGATCCCAATGGTAGATATGTGAAAGCGAGATGCATAAAATATGTTGTTATTTCTTGCGGGCAAAGATGTTTGTTTTGGCTAAGCACTGTGGGCAGAAGTGCTAATGAATTGCCAGTCGCTTTAACTTTATAATTTCCATATTTTTAATGTGAAAGGTGTCATCAATCTAAGCTCTCATCATAAAGCCAAAAACTTCAAGTAATATGTTAGGTGAAAATAAGAAATCCAGGCATATTGCTAGACAGATGTCACCTTTTGAACTCACCGCCGGTCAAGATTGACATGCTTCACGTGTAAAATCAAACTTGTAGATTAAGAATTATATCAAGGATAATTTAGTGAAAACAACTCCTTTGTTATTTAAATAAAGGTTAATTGAACACCTGCTAGACTTAGTTATTAAGAGAAGAGAGAGATACTTTCTCTCACCCCGAAACATCAAACTAAACATGATATTGGCAAGAAAAATCTTTTTATTTAGGTTTTTTATGGTACTACATGAATTCCATATATTTCTCACATTTATATGTAAAGCCCTTTGGGGTGCTTTTGGTTTCCTGTTAGTGCAGAATTTGTTGGTCTTTCATGATCTCTCTGGAGTACTGGTGCTGCGATGAGCCTTCTGGATCAACTATGAGTGAACTAGGCTTGATTTTTTCTGTCTTTCACATTGTCTTGCTGGATTTAATTTTTCCAGATTATTGTATGCAAGAAACTCCATTTGGGATGTGTCCTTACTATTAATATCTTGTGTCCATGTTATAATGAATTTATGCTTGTTCTCAAAACAGAGCAAAAAAACTTTGGTAGCTGCTGAGTTAAGAGGATTTTGCATTTTATTCAAATTGTATGAGTAATAAATTTAGTTTGAGAAAAAAAGGGATTCTTATATATATATATATACATATATTTTTTGAATACAAGCGATAATTTAAACTACAAGAAGAGAATGATTTCTCATACACACACTACCACATTGCCATGGATGTTCAAATATGAGACTGCTTACTTGCAAGTCAATGTCATTTTCTACTAAACTAGATCCCGTAGCTAGAGATTCTTATATTTAAGTTTCGAGTTCATGAGCTATAAGAGTATATCTAATACAATAATCCACTTAAATTATAGGCATGGTGGTGTGTGGATGGTTAGGTTGGGTTGTGATGGTGGTGGGCCGGTAGCTAGAGATTTTGTACATTATATTCATTAATTTTTTATAGTTTCATTCCTGAACAGAACATGAATACTGATAAATAAATATGACTATTATTAATTAAATATATCAGATTCGGGTCGTCTATTCTCTAAAAATCTGAAAATACCCACCCCTAATTTCTAATCACTAATATTTTCTCTCTCTAAGATTTTTCCAGTTCAACAAACAAGGAAGTCTAATCCTTGTTGTGCCCTAAACCGGATATTTGTCAGTAAACTTAATTGGTCTCCATGCTCTTAGTTTGATTCATTTAGAGTGACAAACAAGTGAAATCAAGACGTTACTTTTGGTTGTACATGCACTCCTGAGGTTAAATTAATATCTTAGGGTGCGATAAATATAATGGTTGACTTGTAGAATTTGTTAAAACGTATTAAAATATCACCCAAAGTATTCACAGTAGAAAGAAAAAGTAAAATTCAGTCTCCACTTTTCACACTCATAAAAACTTTTAACAAGGCCGCCCTTGTTTCTCTTTTGCCATTCCACCGTCTCTCTCATATGTGAGATATTTTGTGCCAACTTTTTTGTTGGGGGTGCTCATGCAACTCAGTTCATGTCAGATTGCTTGCACCAATATTTTCCTTTCTAATTAACTTTATAACTCGAATTGATTTGGTTGGGTCCCACTCGGAAATATGTTGAATTCAAATTTCATGAACGACAATTTGAGTTTCTTCTTGTATTAGATAAGTTAGAAAAGTAAGAACCAATATTTATGCAAGTTCAAATAAACTCGGTTAGAATAATCTCATAATTGAGGTGATTAATTGCCAAACTCCTAATTTTAAGGCGCTTATGTTGCAGCTTAGATTGTGTGGGTCGAAAACTAAAGATTCTTTCAAATTTAGCTGTGGATTTTGGGTTCAATTATTGGACTCTTTTTCGTTTTATATTTGATATGTATAATGTGGGTATATATATATACCTGATCTGATACTGACATGCTTTTCGTCTGTATTTTTGTTAGACATATTTGACATTTCATACTTCGAAGTAGTTGACTAGTCAGGATCACACACCTTTTTCTATGTAACCAAATTTTAGATGCATGGGCCCATCAAATTATACGTTCATCGTTTGTAGCACTAAAACACTCTTCCAAGGCTGTCCAAGAACAAGAAAGGAAGTGTTTTGCTGTGATGGAAGTGTTATTTTGCTTTTCTTTTGTACTAAAGCTCGCAAGTAAATGATGTGTTTGTATACATGTCAGGGTCTTTATTCGTTAAGAATAAATGAAGTTTAGAGTGGATCTAGATTTAAATAAACGGCAGACTAACACATTATTTGGTGAGTAAAATTTAGTAAAAAAGGTTGATGTGTACAGAGCATTACTCAAAGATAACATTTTGTTACTGAAGGAAGGAAAAAATAGTAGAAAATTGGTATATACTATGGTCTTGGGACAAAACAATGTGCATGTGCAAGATATTAAAATTGACTTCAAATTGAAAACTATGAGCAAAAAGCCTCGCTTTAAAGGTGGGGGAACTTGAAAGTGGCAAAATTATACGGCTCCAAAAAAAAGTTCAATTTCTTTCATGCCAACCTTTCTCCATTTCCCCCACTCACAAAAAGAGGGTCTTACAATAATACAAAGCATGCATCCTCTAATTACATTTGTGAGTGCAACATCAAAATGCCTACACGCATATCATTTTTGGACGTTTATGCATACACAGATCCACATATATGTGCATGAAAGTTGTTCAAAAGCTTGCACTGATCTAACTCTAAAATAAAAAGTACTAGAATGGAAATTGATTTGTTTGGTATTGGTATAATGTCTTCCGTGATCCCTTGTTTTAAAAGGTAGAGAAAGAAAA